CAGTTCAGTGGAGGGCATCATTCTCTTGATACAAGAATAAAACATTAGCGGAATAGCCCTTTAATCAATTCATTTGTAAAAAAGAAACCAGTAGCTTGGTTCAGTGCCTTCCCTGTCAGTCTCCCTATCTGTTTATTGCTGATTTGACAGTCTCTAGTCCTCCTTTGCTGTTGCATGTGTGTGTCCTTTGTTTGTTCTGAGGGGTTTGCCACATTTGGATGTGAGAGAAAAGCCTGTCTGTGCCATATTGGGCTAAATTAGCCTTCTGGGTGAGCATATAAATCCAGCAGACTTGTAAACCATGAAAGAAGAGGGCTCGCAGCAGCGTAGATTTTCTTCATGTGCTGGGGTTTCCTCTGTTTTATTTCCTCCACGAATTGATGGCCGAAAGCTTGTCCGGAATGCTTCATTTGGAGGATACAATGAACTTTCTCCTTCCTTGCAAGGTTTGTTTGTCTACTCTTGCATTCTTGCCTTAATTTCTTGCATGTTCTTAAGGAAAACCGGCCAGGGATTTTAAAATGTTAATGGTGTGCTTCATGTAAACGATTCTGTTTTGAAAGCATTGCTTTCAGTCACTGTTTGTCTATGGCCGGGCTTTCCCATGTTCTCTCTTAATAATCTCTAGCTAAGATGTGAGAGCTAACGAGTCAGTGAAATAAGAACTTTGATTCTCATTGTGTGCATTCTGGTTGAATTAATGCAAATTAAAGCATTTCTGAAATTGACATATAATACAAATACAGCTCTATAAAGAAGTGGTATTGACAGAGGTTTTAGTATATGAAACCCAGATATTTACCACTAATATTTAGCCATTTCCATAAAGTAGTAATTATAATTGATGTTTATCACATGTGCTAGTCTTAGTCTTTTAATTCTTGACTATAGTAAAGTTTTCCATCCAAGTATAAATTTGTTGCTAGGCTTATTCATGTGGAGATAATTTTTGCTAAGAAAATTATGTTACATACATGGTAATATTACATAAAAGTAAATACTTTACAGTATCATTTAGGCATGAAATGATTAATCAATAAGATATAGACAACTTGAGCTTTTATTTGAAAATGATTTATTAAGGTAAATATTGGTTATACATCTTAATATTTTTTTAATTTTATATTATGGATTAAACTATAGCTTTTTTCCTACATTAAGTTTTTTAAATATTCATAGTAAAGAAATATTGAATAGAATTTATATGTATTTTTCTGACATCTACATTTGTTGAATTTGAAATGAAGTTTATTTTATCCTTAACCTGTATTTTTGGCTCTTTTTGAATAATCATGATGAAAAGCTTATACATTATTTTGAGATACCCAGAAATTAAATAATTACAAATTCAATATTTGCATATTCTTTTCAAACAGCGTTTCCAAAAATATCCATGGTTCTAAGCTATGCCTAAGTAGCATAAGCTTTGAACAGTTTTTAATCCATATTGTCTTCTTAACATAGTGATCATGCTTCTTGCTTATGTCCTTAACTAGTATAAATTTTGGTGCTTTTATGCAGAAGTGGCTTTAAAATACACTGTACTGGGACTTTTAGATACTGTTAAGTGCTGCCTTTGCTTATACACTCACACTTAGTTTTTTTTTTTTTTTTTTTTTTTTTTGGTTTTTATGAGACAGGGTTTCTCTGTATTGTTTTGGAGGCTTATCGGTCCAGCCTGGCCTCGAACTCATAGAGATCCGCCTGCCTCTGCCTCCCAAGTGCTGGGATTAAAGGCGTGCGCCACCATCGCCCGGTCACACTTAGTTTTTTTATATTCCTCCTCTTGACTGTATTTTTTAAATCGTTGCTAGGATAATAGCACAAATAGCACATGCCATTTGCTGACCTTCATACCACAAATCTGCTTAATATTAAGCAATAATCAGTGACCTTAGTATTAAAACAGTAGAAAACTTCACTGTTTGAAAGTTTGGCATATACTTATTTAGGAGATTAAAGGCATAATTGTGAGTTTATCTTGTCAGAGCTAAGATAATTTTTGATAGCTGTGTTGTAATAGATGAGTAAATGGTTTGCTGTGTCTCTCAGCTCTTCCAGTGTAGGAAACCATGTAGGGTTCTTCCATATTCTGTGATAAAGATGCTTCAGAATGTCAGCTTTATCAGTTAAGCAGTAGAAGCAGGTACTCTAGAGAAAGGGCCTTTTGACATGTATTTAAGTTAAAGGTTAAAAGAAATAAACATTTGATGAAGTCTCCTGAGATAATTCTTTATTTACTTAGTAGATTGCTGTTAAATCTGTATTGTAGAAGTATATCTAATTTTTAAAAGACTGAAGCAACATGAAATTTGCTATTATGTTGTATCTAAACATTAATGATTAACAAGCCAAGTTTGCTTCAGGAGTGCACCTTTGTCATATTCTTTAGAAAGTTAATTTACTTAGAGCTAGTACTCTGTTCTTCTAGAAGTAAACTCCATGTACTAATAAGAAATCTTCTAATGGCAAATTTATTTAGATGAGAAACTGAAATCATAGAAGCTAAACAAAGCTTGACATGGATTGAAAATTGAATGATGAAAGAGTTCTTCTATTCAGTAGAATTCTTGTGATCTCTGACTGTTCCAAACCAAAACATTAGAACAAAAGGATATGATAGGTGTTTTAAATGCCACATTACATGTGATTAATTTGTTTTTGGTTGGACTACAATTAGAAATTCTTTTGTATTAGCTTTGATGATGAGAACATTTTGGGAAGGCATCGATTGTTTTGTTTTTAGAGTGTGTCTATGGCACTCTCTTTACTTAGATTCTGCTGGTGTTCTCCCCTGTAGTGAAACAGAACCACTGGGTTAAGCAGCTTGCTTGTCCAAGGTGCATGGCTAGTGAATGGTGGTGTCAGTGCTTGGGGACTCGACCACTTGCCCTCTTGACTGTTCTACTGCCTTTAGAAGCAGTTACCACAGTGTTACGCTTTGATGTTTGCGTACTTGACTCCTCTCTAGACAAGAACTTCTTCTGACAAGTAAATGATAGGAAACAGTGAGGCGGGCACTGCGGGCACGGGACAGCAATGTGTTCAGACAGGCTCTCATTAGGTCGTCCTGGCTTTCCTGGGACTTGCTGTGTAGACCAGGCTGGCCTCAAATTCATAGACTTCTACCAACTTCTGTTTTCCAAGTGCTGAAATTAAAGATGTGGACCACCATACCTGGCCACTAGTAAATATTTTTTGACACAGCCCCAAAGGTCCTAGTAAATACACTTTCATGTATTAAAGGTTTTGATAAATGTACTTGTATGGCAGATTTATTTTTTAAAAAATAGATTATTTTATACTTTTTTAGAAGTTCACATCTAACCAGTCTCATTGCTGTTCTGTTTTTAAATAATATGTGGATGTAGACACACTTAGCTGGACATTTTCTGTAACATAGTAAATAGGTTGCTGTAGATTGAGCTGAGACTAAAACAATACTGGAGAAATTGAAGTCTATTCATGTGAGAGCAAAATTAGCATTTTTTCTACTTACAAAATGTACTTTTAGAAAATGTGTTCTTTCCTATGTATATTTAGAAGCTCTTTGAAGTTAAGTTAGTCATTAGTACTGAGAATTCTTTGTTGCTATATTTGTTGCTTTGAATACATTTAAAAAATTTCAAGTTTAATTTTGTAACTTTTAGTATACCTGTATATTTAAGTTCCAAATATAAGTTTTCATCTGAAAAATCCATGTTACATTTATGAAAAATTTCCCTTCCTTACATTAGAACTGAGTAATTTTTCCAGAGAAGTATTTTCTCATTGTATAGATTTTATAAGAATATCTAACTAAAGTAGATTTTATTTGTAAATCCCAAGCAGAATAAATTATATTGTCACTGATATAGCCACAGTAATGTAGAAACGCTTCAGACATCGTGTCTGTTGTTGATGCACCTTTAGCAGAGCCAGTATGGGGATAGTTAACATTACCTGCCTTAGGAGTACAAGAAACTTCACTAAGGTGTGTGCCGTCTGCACCTGCCTCGTAGATTTTAGTATGGGGCTCTTGCAGTAATAATTGAATTGCTCTTAGGATAAGACTATATTTGAATATGGGATACATGCATGTTTGTCCCACTGTGTTTGCCCATTTACATTTTTATTATTTTTAGATTTGTTTATTTTTATTATTGTATACTTTGGGTGAGGTGTTACTAGCCTGTGTAAACTCCAGGGGAATCAGAAGTCTTTCTTGGCTCTATAGCAAGTCAAGTCCAGCCTTGGCTACATGGAGCCTGCTGTCTCAAGAAAAAAAAGAGGAGGTGTGGGAAGTAAGAAATGAGCTTGTTAGCATAAAAGCTTTGAGGGGATGATTCATGCAAAGGGGTCCAGTAGCACAAAAATAGTATTCAGCTTGCCACTGGTGTGCTCGGGAACTCTTGAGTGCCCCCTCTACATTAATTCTTTTTTTTTTTAAGCAAACCTATTTTTATTCTTTGAGAATTTCACAACGCTTAAAACATAGCTCTGTTATATGATCATACTCACCCTCAGTGCTTCCCATTCTCTTCCCAGATCCACACTCTTCTTCCCCGCTCCACCTAGCCTCTTCCGTACTTTGTCCTATTAATTCTTTAATGTATACATGTGATTGATTGAGTTGATGAATACTGTGTGTTTGTGGGTACAGGGGCCAGAAGGGAGTGGCAGATCCCTTGGAACTGGACTTAAAGGCAGTTGTGAGTTATCTGATGTAAGTGCCAGGAACTGAACTCAGGACCTTTGGAAGAATAACAAGTGCTCTTAATCCTCCTGCCATCTCTCCAGGCTCCCACACTCTTTAAAACAAAAACTCACAAAATCTAATGTGGCTCCACCTTTCTTTTAAGAAATTCAGTGAGATGATGATAAGCCATAGTAATCTGAGCTCTATAAACAGAGATGAATATCAAGTGTGTCTAAATTGAATGGCTCATGTGTGTTCCTTAACATTAATGGCTGTATATTCAAAGGTTGTAGTAATTGAATATTCACATTTTCTCCCAAAGGTTTTGAAAGAGGAAAAGAAGATATTTCTCAAAACAAAGATGATGTTTCGCTTTCAATGTCAAAGAGCAAGGTAGGCATATTTTGTTCCCAATATATGACAGGACATTTTTCCAACATTTAAAATAAAGATACTGAAGTGAAATCCTGTGAGTGTTCATAAGAATTTTTATGTTGGTATGTTTAAGTCATGTAGTATATGTGGAAAGTATAAAGGTCTATACTCAACTGACTGAGGTGCTATTGAGTACTTGGAAAGTACTAATTGAAACTGTTGCTCTCTTCAGAGTAATACTGGTTTTGGTATGTGGGCTGTAGCAGACTTCTCAATCTGGAATCTGAGAGTTCCATTCAGAGATGCCTCAGGCTTCATGATTTTAACAAAACATTTTAGGTATTTTAAATTTATTTACATGACAGTCAAAAAATAGACATTTACCAGACAATGAGCAAAGATCTTTGTAGTACTATGTATAATTAAAATAGGGCATGTGTATTGTATCTAAATCAGTATTTTTAAAAGTACCGCTGTGATGATGTGGTGGCCCTCTATAGATTGATAAAAGTTGAGTGAGTTTTCAAAATTTGTCAAGGGGTTTGACTTTTGCCTTTTCCCCTAAGATTTAGTAGCAGCATCAAGAGCTTTTTATAAAGGCTTTGGAATCACCTTCAGTGGTTGGAAGAACCTATTTCTTAGCCCAGTGACCTGTGCTACCTGCAGCAGGAGACTTTGCTCATCCGCCCTGTATCTTTTACTCTTGTTCTTAGCAATAGTTGAGAGGATTACGTAGTATGTTTGGTGCTTGTTTTGTACATACTAGTCATAGTTACTTTGAAAATATTTGTAACGTAAAGATGCACGTTTAAGACAAAAACACATTTGATTTGTTGGGCATGTTGTGCAGCTACATGTGTGCATGAGGAGGCCAGAGGACAACGGGCTGTTTATCCTTAGGCACTTCCCATCTTTCCTTTAGTACACAGGCTCTCTCACTGACCTGGAATTCACCAAGTAGGTGATATAGCTACAGTGTGCCCCAGAGAATCTGCCCCCTCACCCTGCTTTTCAGGGTTAGAATTACAGGCACACAGGACCATGCCTGTCCCTGCCCGTGCCACTGTTTTCTGTGGCTTCTGGGGATCTAACTCAGAGCTCATGCTTTCCTGTGAAGTATTTCACCAAATGAGCCAGTTTTTAGCTCCAGTGCATTGTGTTTGTGTAACACACATGAGTAAACGTTTGGTCATTTGGCGAGAAATGTATTTCCTTTCTTACTCATTAAAGGTTCATAACTGAGGCCCTTATATTAAAAGGCATACTAACATAGTAATAAAAGTGCACATTTATTTTTTGTAAGCACCATGTAATGTTGGAGCCTTTAGAAATGAAGACAATCCTTCCCTCAAAGAAACAAATAGGGAAACTTGTATTTTTTTTGTTTTGGTTTGATGAAGAGCAAAAAGGATATTGAAAGGGCTGAAGATGAAAGCAAGTTGTACACTCCCCACTGAGAATACACTGCTCTAGGTTTGGTTCCCAGCTCCATTAAAATAGATAGATAGATAGGTAGGTAGGTAGGTAGGTAGGTAGGTTAGGTAGGTTAGGTAGGTAGGTAGGTAGGTAGGTAGGTTAAGTAGGTAGGTTAGGTAGGTAGGTAGGTAGGTAGGTAGGTAGGTAGGTAGGTAGATAGATAGACAGACAGACAGACAGACAGACAGATAGATAGATAAAGTGAATGTCCTAGTGTGCTTGTAATTGCTGTGATAAAATACTGACCAAACCAACTCTTAGGAGGACAGGGTTTATTTGGCTTACACATCCATGTCACAATCCATCACTGAGGGAAGTCAGGGCAGGAGCTCAGTCAGGAACCTGGAGGCGAGAGCTGAAGAGACTGAAAAACTGCTGCCTACTGGCTTGCTTAGTCTGTTTTTTTATATATCCCTGGACCATCAACCCAGGTGTAGCCCTGCCCACAGTGGGCTGGGCCCTCCTACCTCAGCCATTGATCAGGAAATGCCCACAAACTAATCTGATGGCGGTGATTCTTCCAGATGACTCTAGCTTGTTCCAAGCAAAGTTGACAAGCTGAGCAGCACGGAGAGGGTGGTGAAGGGCAGCCCTCAGGCTAGTTTGTGGAGATTCTTCGTGGTGTCTCTGTGTCTCTGGGTACAGGAGAGAGAGCATTTGCTTCCAGGGAAAGTTAGGTTTCTTCTGTGGCCTGTTCCCCGGAAGAAGGATGAGACACAGTCAGAGAATGGCCTTCTTCCTTCTGCACTTGTCTCGGTTTCCTTCTTCTTAAGATAAGCAGTGTGCTAAGATGCCGTGTTTCAGAAGTGCTGTGTGCTGCACTCTGCGGCCTTGGGGTTGTTGTTGTTTTGATTTTGGTTCTGGCTTTCGAGACAGGGTTTTCTCAGTGTAGCCTTGGCTGCCCTGGAACTTGCTCTACAGACCAGGGTAGCCTCAAACTCACAGACATCTTCCTGTTTCTGCTTCCCAAATGTTGAAATTAAAGGCATGTGCCACTACTACCCGGCTTATAACCTGTCATTTTTTTAAATCGGAAAAAAAAATGTATCCTAAGTACCATAGCTAGAACTACAGTAGAGTTTTTGTTGTTGTTGTTGTTGTTGTTTTTTAAAGTTTGTCTTTAAGCACTTAGTACCAGACTCGGTCAATATATGGTGTGAGAACATTCCTGCTCAGAGGCTTTAAAACATAAACACAAAGACCTATATGCCACCGCTGTCTGTTTGCCAGCTATGTATAGCTTGTAGAGATAGGGAAGGGACTAGGGAACCAAGCTTTGCAGCCTCTGATGTACACTAATGACTGAAACAGACATGTGTCTTGTTACACCTATGCTCTGTATGAAAGAGTATTTAGTGCATTGATCTTGAAAATTAAATAGCAGGTTAAAGTCTCCACTATTCTAGGCACACCTCAAGTGCTCAATAACTACCTGTGGCCAGTGGCTGCCATGTCAGACGACTCAAATGTTGTGAATTAAAGGGCAGTCTGGGATACATGTGACGCTATCCTGAAGAAACAAACAAAACTTACAGAGAATAACTCTTAACATGGGACCTTTTGGTGTTAGTAACATTATCCTCACTCTGCTATTTTTCAGGAGATTTGTAGTAACTAGTTTGTTCCTAAATATTTCAATGTATAACCTACTTATTTTTATTCTTAAGTCATTGGGGGAACAAATTTAAATTTTAAAAATCATTTTTTAATGTGCATAGGTATATCTGTGCACCACGTGTGTGGTGCCCAGAGAAACCATGGAAATGCACTGGATCCCCTGGAACAGGAGTAGATAGTTGTGAGCTACCATACCATGTGGGTTCTGGGAATCGAACTCTGGTTCTCTTGAAGAGCAGCCAGTGCTCAAGGGCCAAGACGTTCCTCATTCCCCCAAATAGTATTTTAAAAAATGTTTTTAATCGTCTTATGTCCATGCCAGGAATGGCCAGCATGAGTAATTGGTATAGTAAGATAAATGAAATGTTACTACTAGGATAAGGGGTTTCTGGAACATACATCCCTTTATCTTGATCCTTCAACATCTATGGACCTGTGTATACGTTTATAAGTTATTACTGCTTGTTTTAAAAAGATATGCTTACTTGAATGTTTAAAGTTGCTTTCCAAACTCAAACTATCTTTGCAATCACAGTAACTTACTATTGTTCCTTATAAGTGTAGTGTTTTATAGTTTATAAAGGAAACCACAAGTTGTTTCACGCATCTTACTCTGAAAGGTAGATTTTGAATACATCTGCAATCTAGGATATAGTTAGAAACCTGAGTCAGAGCATTTACCAAGTATTATGTTAAACACTTTATGTCTGTTACCTTATTTAACTCCCAAAGTAACCTTGTGAGTCAGCAGTAAATGAGGACATTTTACTAATGAGGATTTTAAGACCTAAAGAGAAATAACTTCTTAAAGTCTGATTGTCTATAAGGCCATACTGGTTAAGGGGGTGGGGTAGGGAGAAGGCAATGCTAGCATTCTAAAGCCATTTAATAGACTGAAGAAATTCTACATATTAAAGCCCTGTGGTCATTATTAAAAAGGTAACTAGTCATGTTTCTGAAGAAAGAGAAGCCTACTATAGTGAATATCTTCAACAAAGAAAGATGGTTCATGTGTTTTGGTCTCTTAAAGGTATGTTAATTCAGAATCAGGCCTGGTAGGACATACCTGGAATTCCATCTGCTTAGGAGACTGCTGTAAGGAGGATTATAAGTTTGAGGCCAACTTGAGCAGTTTAGTAAAACCCTTTTTCAAAATGTAAAAAAAGGAAAAGGGATTGTAGCTGTAGCTACTACAGTAGAGTAGTTGTTAGCATGCAAGAGGCCATAGATTCAACCCCAATACCACTGGTGTGCTGGTTCAGAGAGCTGAGGTAGTGAGTGATATTTGGGTAGTAAAACTTGGTTACTGACTCATTGTTTCCACAGCTAGACTGCAAAGTATTATCAGAGCCTGATGAAGGTATCTGTGTCCTGATTTACCAGTCTCATGTGACATGCTTCTACCCTGCCTATTCATATGACAATGCAATCTTATAATAACCAAACCAGATCTTGCCACTTGGAGTTGTTGGGACACATTTTCCTTGTTTAAAAAGATGAGTTTTACGTTTGATTCTGGTTGCTGTACTGTATGAAGAGCTTTCAGAATCAATAAACCAATATGGTGAGATTACCCAAAAACGAGGTACAGAATTAGAGCAAAGCCCAAAGTCCTGCTTACCTATTTGGTGTCTGTATGACTTGGGGAACGACATCTAATCCATTGGTATAGTCTCCTTATTAGTATAGGGGGTACTTCTGCTATCTCAGGGTGCTTTAAGCATAGAGTGAAATGGTACATTCACAGTGTTTAACATAATACTTTGTAAATGCTAAGCAGCCATTAACTTCATCACATTCAAGCTAACAATGTGAGTCTTCATTAGATAGTGTTATCTAACGTGCACTCTGTGGTAGTTTTAGGTGTCATATTTCTCTGATAGCAGCTCTGTCATCCTTGGGTGCCTAAATTCACAGAGCAAACAGATGACTTTATAGCTGAAGGAATTATGTTAAATTGTTTTGGTATCACAGTATATGTCATCGTCATGAAAGCAAACAGCATAGCACTTCAAGCCAAGTTAGGTCAGCAACGTAAAGGTTTAGACAGGTTGATCCCTATCTTCTGCATTGAAAAGTAATTGCAGTTTATTTCCTGTCAATCACTACTATCATCCTAACCTCATTTATTCCCAATTTATGTAACGTATTTCTTACCAACCACCACACAAGATAAATAAGCTTTACTGACATTTTTGTTTGTTTAACTGATTCCTTTCCTTTAGCTGATGCTCTGGTTATCATCAGTGAGTAATATGGTGCTGTCACCGTGGGAAGGAGTTTGTACTCAAACGCTTTTATCCTTGCTTATAGCTAGTGATACTATGCTGGTCTGGCCGTGTAACATTTGAAAGCCACCATTTGGATAAGGTCCCATGTACTCCTTGACACTAGGAATGCTAGTGCATTTCCCTTTGTCTAACAGTGGTAAAAATGAAAAATTATAGGACATTGAAGAAGTAGATTGATACTGTTGTTTGAAGATTTATAGAAATGGCTTTCAAATATATGCTGTTGCACCCTAGTGAAAGATTCTGGGCACTGGATCAGGAGGTCTAGGTTTTGGTTGCTGCTGTGTTAATGACCATGACTAATCAACCTCTGTGAGCCTTTTTTTTTTTTTTGATGATGTATATAAAAGCATGTGCTGCTTAATTTTTAAGGTTTTATGAAGGTTAAATAACTATTAACTTTAAACTCAAAACCTACAATTTTTTGTCATTAATCATAATTTAAGTGTGCTGAAAGGTAGGAGGAGATAAATCCTGGGAATACTAATGTGGAAACACTGGAAGATTAAAGTGGCTTAGTCTTAGTTTTTGAAGATTGGAGGAGTTTTGATGTAGTGGGTAGTGCATTTGATTAAACTTAACACGATTTCATTTTTTGTTCAGCATTTTCCAAAGGTCATTTTAACAATTTTTATACTAAAAATAACTGAACTAAAATAATTGTATATTTTCCAAAAAATATTCTGAGAAATTCAGTATAAAATTTAGAAATATTAGATTCGCATTGCATATGAATTTTTGAGAAAGTATGCGCGTGCGAGAGAGAGAGAGAGTGTGAGTGAGTGAGAGAGAGAGAGAGAGAGAGAGAGAGAGAGAGAGAGAGAGAGAGAGAGAGAGAGAGAGAGAGATACCAAGTAGGGGGAAACCTTGTATTGAAAATCTGTATTGTGGGGGCTGGAGAGATAGCTCAATGGCTAGGATCACTAGCTGCTCTTCCGGAGGTCCTGAGTTCAATTCCCATCAACCACATGATGACTCACAACCATCTGTAATGAGCTCTGGTGCCCTCTTTTGACTTGCAGGGATACATGCAGACAGAATACTGTGTACATAATTTTAAAAATCTGCATTTGCTTAAACTATAATAGCAAATGAGAAGTGTGTAAGAAATACTAAGTTTTATGTGGTATGTAAAATAAATATAAATTATCTTCTCTTTATTTCATTTTCATCTCAGTCTGAATCTAAACTTTACAATGGCTCAGAAAAGGACAGTTCTACTTCAAGTAAACTCACCAAGAAAGAGTCTCTCAAGGTCAGTTTCTGTCGGTACTTAAGATTGTGATGAGAACATGTCTCCCTTTCCTCCCTCCAAAACCTTCCCTATGATCTTCCCTGCCCTTCTCAATTTTATCAATTGTTATTGCATGCATATATGTATATCCCTAAATATAATCTACTCAGTCCCTATAGTTCACTTGTAGGTATGTTTCCAAGGCTGACCATGGGCTCTGGGCGGCCAGTCCCAGCGTTCTCCAGTTGCCTGTAGTTGTTAGTGTGGGGCTGAGGTCCTGTGGACTTTGCCTGCCCCCTTTACATGCCCACTGGTGGTGTCCTTGTTCAGTTCATGTTAGATGGTCATGCTGGTGTAACTTTCCAGGCATAAGCTTCTGATGTTACTCTGAGACGCATGGTGAACTCCCTGATCCTGTCGCATTGTGCTTTGTATGTGCTTTTGAAAGTGAGCTAATATGGAAAAACTCCAGAGGAATGGAGAGGCAGGTACACGTGAAGAATGTTCGTTTTCTTATGGTATCGTGAGATCAGCAGATGATTTTTGATGCCTGTTTAAGAGCAGGCTGTTTCAGGCCATAGCTAGCCACAATACAGGCTCCGGGTCAGTGGCTCTTCACAGCTTTAACAAAATAGAGTGAGCATTCACTGTGTGTGGAACACTCAGTGGACATTTCTGGCTCCATTGAAATTAGTTTGCTAATTACCAGGCCCATAGGAATGTGTATTTTGTTTGACCTGTATCACAATGTAAATTTTGAGACAGTGAAAGTCCAAATTCCTAACTTCTCTTGAGAAATGTGTGGTGTTGTGGCTGCCTTTCTTGCGTGGCCGTGGAACTTGGACACATGCTTGCTACGAGCTGTGGTCCCTATTAGTCCATCTGTGTGCTATGACTGGTTTTGTGAGCATCTGCATTGGCAGTCTCATAGTACATCTATTCACTTAGACATGGATATCTTAAAAGACCACGGGAGGCCGGAGAGATGGCTCCGTGGTTAATAGCCCTGGATGTTCTTCCAGAGTGCCCAAGTTCAGCACCAAGCACACGGCAGCTGGCAACCCCCTATAGATCCAGTTCCAGAAGGTCTGACAGCCTTCTGGATACACAAGGCATGTATCTGTGTGGGGTGGAAAAGCACCCGTACACAAAAGCAAATAAAATCTCAAAGAAAAAAGGAAGGGGGGAGAGAGAGAGAGAGAGAGAGAGAGAGAGAGAGGGAGGGAGGGAGGGAGGGAGGGAGGGAGGGAGGGAGGGAGGGAGAGAGAGGGGGAGAGGGAGAGAGGGAGGGAGAGGGAGGGAGGGAGAGAGGGGGGGAGAGGGAGAGAGAGGGAAGGAGGGGGAGAGAGAGAGAGAGAGGGAGGGAGGGAGGGAGGGAGAGAGAGAGAGAGAGCGCCAGGAGTCTAAAGCATTGGAAATATATAACAGTTAAACTTTGTTATGTGTATGGAATCTCAAATTTAACTTTGATAGATTTTTATCTTGTTATTTAAGAAAAATGTAGACACTAATAGATTATTACTTTCCCCATTCAGATAACAACAACAGTGAAGTTAATAGTTCACTTCTGTTTTCTTGGGTATTTCATAGAAGTAATTTGCCTATGAAGGTAAAATGATTAATATTTTGAACAAATTGATCCCTTAATTGTTTTCTTAATTATTTCTATCTTAGACTTTAGTAAAATCAAATGGCACAACTTCCATTTGGGAGCAGTTGGAGCATTGCTTGTAATAAACAAAAGCTAAGATTTCTACCAGTCAGAGAGTGCATTAGGACAAATGGCCCAGTGGTTTCGATCACAGCCTTGGAAGCTAGTCTGCCTTTGTATGGATCCGGCTTCACAGCTTGGTAGCTGTGTGACTCTGGGTACATTATTTTCAGTATTCTCAAATGTAATAAGGCTGATAACAATTCTATTTGAAAAGTGATTAAACTACGTAATATAGATAGGAGTTTAGAATAGCAACAGTTCACCAATACACTTGGTGGTAACACTCTCAATATTGTATTTATGCTGGGAATCCTGTAGCACAGTTAAAAAAATATGGTAGACATAGAAACTCTCAAACAAAAAAATCCAAAATCGGCAGTGGTGGCCCACGCCTTTAATCCCAGCACTTGGAAGGCAGAGGCAGACAGATCTCTGAGTTCCAGTACAGCCAGGACTGCGTACAGGAAACCTTGTCTCAAAAAACAAAAACAAACAAATCAAATGGGAGATTTTGATATATTAAAAACCTACAGGTTGTGTGTACCTGAGAGGACAAAGGTGATTTAAAATGGCAGGGAGCACAGAAGCCGGATTCTTACCTGTGTTGTGTGGTCAAAGCTCCTGTCCAGTTTTTCATCTTAAAATGCTGGAGTTCCAAGAAGCTGTTTCTTCTACTGAGAGCTGTTTCTGTTTGTTACATTAGGTACAAAAGAAAAATTACCGTGAAGAGAAGAAGAGGGCCACAAAGGAGTTGCTCAGCACCATCACAGACCCCTCTGTCATCGTCATGGCCGACTGGCTGAAGGTCAGGGCGTGGGTTTGGCTCACTGAGTGCCTCCTCACTGGGAGGGGAAAGTGTGAGACAAAACGAAGGAGAGATTCTCAGTGGGAGGGAAAGGGTTCCTGTGCTCGGTGTGCCAGTCTTCACAAGGAGAAGGGACTCCAGTAGCATCACATATGGACAGTAATTGTTAAAAAGACATTTTAATTAGTGTGATACTACACTGACATAACCCACTATAAAAATATTGTTATCACTCCACTTATCATTTGATTTTATTGCAGATTGGAATTAGTATTACTAGGACAAAATGAGGATAAGTTAATATAGAAGTTGCACCTGAGAAGCACGGTCAAGGACACATTGCTGTTCTAGTTCCTTTTTCATTCCTGGCCCTCTGTCTTCTTTCCATGCTGAGGGATAGCTGGAGGAATCCATACTCCTAACTTTGAAAGTGAATTTCTAAGACTTGACTTCCAGGAAGCCCTGTGTCTGACATTTACCGCAGTCCTAAATGCTTTCTTTTTCTTTGAGTTGGCAAAACTGCCACCCAATGGAACATTTCTTTCACTACAGTGAGAGTCCTAATCATGCTTGCATACACTTCAAATACTGCAAGGGTTTTCTTCAAGTTTGAGCTGCAAATAAATTCCAACTTACCTTATCTCTTCTTAAAAGCATATTAGCTCTGGATCCCACTTGTTTTCTTCTCCAGAGCCAAACTTATCCTCTCCACGTCCCCAGACTCCCTTAGGACGGAAAGGTCATGCCTCACCTTCCCCACCCATGCTCTTATTTTGAAACAAGGTATTGCTGTGTACCCCTGACTGGCCCTGAACATGTGGCAGTCCTCTGGCCTCAGCGTCTCTCATGCTGGATTATATAGATGTACACTAGGTGTACACTGTCACACCTGACTCTGTGGCTGGCCCTTTAAACTTACTGTCGTTTCCAACAGTTGACTCTTTTCTGTTTTCACATCTCCAAGGTCAAGAATGTTCTCTCAGGGTAACTGTCTTTTCTTTGATTCTTTTGGCTTACCATCTCATTTATATAGATAACCGTGCGCACACACACTCTCTCTCTCTCTCTCTCTCTCTATATATATATATACATATATATATATATATATATATTATATATATATATATAATATATATATTATATCCCCCCCTCTCTCCCTCTCTCCTGCTCTCTCCTGACTCCAGAATCTCCCTAACTTTTGTATCTTGGGATTACTGTGTTTCTGCCCATTTTTCTGCTTAAGGAGTCCTGTATTCATTTCACAGTCCATGTGACATTCACAGTTCATGTACTTTCAGCTAGTGAAGGTGAAGAAAACTCCTACTTTAAACACTATATGGAATCCTGTTCAGCATAGTGAGACCAGTGAATTGCCTAGTAACAATTCTTAATACAGTACAGACATAGAAAGTGATAGAAAAACTTGACAAAGTTAGCAGCAGCATTAGACCTTAAGGGCATTAGAGCATTCAGGACATTTCATAAAAATAATTGATAATGTACTTACACTTACAGGCTTCCTCCTAGATGTTTATATAGCACACCTTAGGTAATGACTGGGAACAGTCACCTAAGGAGGGCGGTTTTAGGAACTCAGTAGTCTCTGTGGTCTGGTCAAGGTTCTTTCTTCCTCCTCCTATTTACCAAACATTTAGGGAATGCCTTGGTTGTGTCCAAAGTGTTCAGAAAAGGGAAGCTAGAAAAGGCAGAATAGTCATTTATTCCCATAAATTACATTTGTAACAACTGCTACAAAAAGAATAATTTCAGTACTATGGAAGTGTATTTTAATGACCCCTGAAGTGATCAAGGAGGTTAGGATTCTACTGAATGTATAATTTTGAAACTTTGGCCTTCTATTCTATGAAAGTCTGAGCTGCCTAGAATCTGGAGCTGTGTTGACTCCACATTTGTCTGCACTGCATACCATGAAGTAGCCTTTTAACTAAAGACCTATTCAGTGTAAATGTGTGTGCACTAGAACTTTAGATTAAAACATCTCGGTAGCCACTATCCAGTTTATTATTCTGTAGTCTAGAAAGAGAAACAGATACCAATCTTTCAAATAAATATGTTTTTCTGTAGATTCGCGGTACCCTAAAGAGCTGGACCAAGTTGTGGTGTGTGTTGAAACCTGGGGTGCTTCTGATCTATAAAACACAAAAGAATGGCCAGTGGGTTGGAACAGTCCTTCTGAATGCTTGTGAGATCATTGAGCGCCCATCAAAAAAGGATGGCTTTTGTTTCAAGCTTTTCCATCCTTTGGAGCAGTCTATCTGGGCAGTGAAGGTATGTGAAAACTTGTTGAGATGAAGCTTTCTTTAAAGATAGGGAACTAATGTCTCTATAATTAAAAGTATCAGTATAAGCAGGAAAACAGAAGTGCTTTTTTTGATTAATGGTCACAGAATTCTACAAACCATGGACAATGTAGTTTACATTAACCAAGTCACCTAATCTTAAATTTTCACAGTGAGATCATTACTTTAGTCTCTAGGATGATTAAAGGACTAAGTGAATACCAGACCTTGAATAAAGGACTAACGGAATAACAGAGAAACACTGATGTTCCTAGGAAAGTATTTGGGATTTATGTGACAGTAGTCTAGATTCATTGAGGAATAAATTTAGGATTACAGAATTATTTCTGTTTTGGAATTTATGTTTTTACTAGTGAGGTTACAATTAAATGTCCAACTAACTAACTTACACTTACAGTATTTCTCATCTAGTGATACCTATATGATGAAAATTCTTGTTAGCATTAAAATTGTATGGTAAATTTTAGATTTTCTTACTATATGAGCAACCATAGAGAGAGGAAATTAACCTGTAGATTTTGCATGGAGTCTGTTATTTCACCCTCAGACTTGGAAGGACATAGATAAGATTGAATCCTAAAGTGTTTACTATAGCATTTTTCCTAGTAGGTGATAAGGTGAAAATTGGGGTGATCCGATTCTAGGTCCTAGTGTTTTGTTTAAATTTTTTTTAAATAATCACAGTTAATGAATTAATTCTCTTTTCTTTCTTGATTCAGAAAAAGTAAAGGTTTTTGCGATCAGTCTTTGAAACATATAATTGATTATAAAGTAGATATTTATTTTCCCATAGACCCAGTCAAAATTCATTTCCTTATATCTAGTGAATTATATTTCCAGTGACTTTTTTCAAACTTCTAGAAATACAGTGTCTCTCATGTAGTAAAACCTGTAAAATAGAAATTTTTTTAATTGTGTCAGTATGTTAAAAATTGGGTTTTCTTCTCATAAACACAGCTGACCGGATAAGGGGGAGCTCTTGAGTCCCAGACTGATGGCTGAGAGACCAACAGGGGACTGATCCAGACTCCATGAATGTAGTGTCAGTGAGGAGGCCACAGAAATCACTGGGGCCTTGGGCAGTAGATCAGTGTTTACCATGGTTTATGAATGAGCTTTGGGAGCCCATTCCAAATAGAGGGATGCTCTCTCAGCCTGGACACATGGGGAAGGGCCTAGGTCCTGCCCTGGATGAAATGACAGACTTTGGAGATCCCCCCAAGGAGGGCCTCACCCTCCCTGGGGAATGATGTGGGGATTGGGTGGGGCGCTGGGGGGGCTGGTGGAGGGACAAGGGAAGAGGGGTGGGAGAGGGAGCTGTGACTGACATGTGAAACATTCACGTTTCTAATTTAAATAAAATCATATATTGAGAAAAAAAGAAATATAGACTTTTATGTCATTTATAGAACCAATATAAAAATAAATTTTTAATAAGACAAAAAAATTGGGTTTTCTTTACTATACGAGCAGTACGTACAGATAATATTTAAATGATAAATGCTATCATTTGTTCAACTTTTTATTAAGGAGGCATATTTGTCAGGAAAGAATACTTGAATACTAAAATTAGCATTCTTTTGGGGGGGTTTCAAGACAAGTTTTTTCTGTGTATCTCTGGCTGTCCTGTAACTTATTTTGTAGACCAGGCTAGCCTCCAACTTAGATCCACCTGCCTCTGCCTCCCAAGTGCTAGGATTACAGGTGTATGCCACCACTGCCTGGCTAAAATTGGCATTCTTAAGACAGGCATAATTAAAGCTTGTTTACTTTTAGATTGTAATTGTGCCTGATAACCCACATCTGATACGAATAATCATGCTAAGTTATTGTTGGTCTCTCACAATACTTACCCTGTACCTTCTGTTTTCTTTTTTCTTACTAAGGGTCCAAAGGGTGAAGCAGTTGGATCCATAACCCAACCCTTACCTAGCAGTTACTTGATTATCCGAGCAACTTCAGAGTCAGATGGTAAGTACTTTCTGATGGATTGGCTCTCATCTTTCAGGAATTACTTTAAATATTACTTTGTGCTAACCTTGGAGGATATCATATTTTTGTAGGATACTTGAAACAAAACACTGTAACCATAAACCATGGGGAAAGCTAAATACATTTCTGTAGGCAAGCAGAGAACTCTGATAGGAGGGACAAGTGTGACTGGACAGTGTTAGCACCTCAGATTTTCTCTCTCTCCCCTGACACAACAGTGCTTTTGGGACTAATAGTTTTGGTTTTGTTAGTTAGTTTGTTTGTTTGTTTTTTAGTAATTCATTAAACGTTATCATTTTTAAGAGAGTTACATTAATGTTTGTGGAACACATAACACTGGTTTGAATTTATTTTACATAAGAAAACAAAATACAAATAACTTTATAAACACCTCCCACCATAGCCAAATATGTAATTTATTTGGCAAATCATACAGAGAGAACAATACACACACACACACACACACACACACACACACACGTATGTATATATGTAACATAACTTAAAAGCTTTGTAAGTGATGGTAGATTGGTTCTTTACTGTCAAACTTTATGGTTTAGATTAACTTGGTGTAGGGAATCTTTACAACCTTATAATACTAGAGGATTACTGTTTATATTAAAATACAGACATAGATTTCAATATGAAATATTTTATATGGTTAAATTTTCTGCCAGATCTTGAAACAAGTATGGATTTTGACGTACTTAGATATTAATCTATTTCATAATTCCACTGATAGAATTGTAATTATGAAAGAAGGCTATTAATATTAACAATCATGGCAGTTACTGATAGCGTTGTATAGGTATTTTCTTTTATTTTTATTTTTAAATTTTAATTTTAATTAGAAACAAGGTTGCTTCACATGTCAACCCCAGGTCCCTCTACCTTTCCTTCCCCTCCTCCCACACCTTCCCACTAACCCCCCCTCAGCACCCCATCATTTCCCCAGGGAGGGTGAGGCCCTCCATAGGGGTGTCCATAGTCTGTCATTTCATACAGGGCAGGGCCTAGACCCTTCCCCAAGAGTCCAGGGTGAGAGTGCATCTCTCATTGTGGGATGAGCACCCAAAGTCCATTTGTATACCCGGGATAAATACTGATCTACTATCCAAGGCTCTAGATTACCTAGGCCTCCTCACTGACACCCACATTCAGGGGGTCTTGATCAGTCCCATGCTGGATTCCCAGCCATCAGTCTGGGATTCATGAGCTAACCCTTGTTCAGGTCAGCTGTTTCTGGGGGTTAAACCAGCTCAGTCTTAACCCCTTTGCTCATGAGTCCTCCCTCTCTATCACTGGGTTCCTTGAGTTCAGCTCAGTGTTTAGCTGTGGGAGTCTGCCTCTGCTTCCATCAGTCATTGGTTGAAGGTTCTGTTTCCCAGACTCTCTGGCCATGGGATTGTAGGCTGACACTCCCTTGCTCCATGTCGAAAATCCATATATGAGAGAGTACATACCATGTTTGTCTTTTTATGACTAGGTTACCTCACTGAGGATGGTTTCTTCTAGTGCCATCCATTTGCCTGCAAATCTCAGGATTCCATTGTTTTTTTTCTGCTGAATAGTACTCCATTGTGTAAATGTACCACATTTTTTCTATCCACTCTTCGGTTGAGGGGCATCTAGGTTGCTTTCAAGTTCTGGCTATTACAAATAATGCTGCTATGAACATAGTGGAACAGATGTCCTTGTTGTATGAATGTGCATCTTTTGGGTATATGCATAAGGATCCAATTTAAAAGTGGGCTACAGAACTAAATAGAGAATTCTCAATAGAACCCACTTTTAAATTGGATCCTTTGGTGTTTTGGAAACTTGCTTCTTGAGCTCTTTGTAAATTTTGGAGATCAGCCCTCTGTCAGATGTGGGGTTAGTGAATATCTTTTCCCATTCTGTGGGCTGCCTTTTTGTCTTGTTGACTATGTCCTTTAGCTTAAATTTTTTATGTTAAGCAAAAATAACCAAGGTTACAAAAGACAAGTGTTGCATGTTTTCTTCTGTATGTGAGAGCTAAAGAAAACAAATAGAGTATGAGAGTAGAAGCAAACGTTAGGAAGTCAAGAGAAAGGAGAGGTGGGGTGAATGTGCTCTCTATACATGTGAAAATGTGCCAGCAAAGCCCGAGATTGACTAGTACACACTAACAAAATCTTTCCATGCATGTACATAGAGTAGATGCTAAACCTGGGGACAGACCTAATGTCATCAATGAAACATTATTTCAGGTAGTTTATAGCAGAAACATGTTCTCCTCAGTGTAATTTGTGTACCTCACTTGATACTTTAAAATTGCATGTTAGTGTTTGAAGTTTTGGGAGATAGTTTATTTTAGATTGGATATGCTTACATAATACATGCTGTCTCCTATTTGCTGTAATTTTTAAAATGCTTATTGTTTAAAAAGCATGCATAAAAAGATTGCACTAAAATCCTGGCAAACTTTTATGTTTAAATTAACTTTTCTAGTGCTTGTTTCTCAAAGAAACAGTAATTTAAAGGTAAGAGGGTTAAGTTATATGAATACTGGTTTCATTAATTTTCTTGCGTGTTCTTCTAGGTAGGTGCTGGATGGATGCCTTGGAGTTGGCTTTGAAATGTTCTAGTCTTCTTAAACGTACAATGATCAGGGAAGGAAAGGAACATGACCTGAGTATTTCCTCAGATAACACACATGTGACTCTGTATGGCTTACTGCGTGCTAACAATCTCCACAGCGGTGACAACTTCCAGTAAGTGGCTATTGCTGCTAATTTGGTGATGCTTTTGGGATCATCTTGTTCATGAAGTCAGTTGTCGTTTCTACTACCTTCATAATGTGTATAGTGTTGAAATTTGCCTGTCATTATTATGTGGCTTAAGGCCTTTATAATTAGTTTATTTGCTAAAAATCAGGCATAGAGATTTATCTTCTTTATTTTAGCCAGTGTGCATTATTCTTTTTTCCAGGTACAAGGGAGCTGAGTATCTATTTTGTCTTTGTACATAGTGTTCCTTCCATTAAGAATGGTTTCTACTTCTTGCTGTCTCCTTCTGTCATAATCCCATTTCATGATCAGTTTGAATTCTGTATCCCATGTGAAGGTTTCTGTCCTCCAAATGATGAGAAACACCTTTTCTTCCATTGATCTTCGCATGTTTTGAAATAGCATTGGATTTTGCCTGCCATTTGGGAAGCATGTTTATGTTTTGGTTTGGTTTTTTATGTGTATGGGTATGTTGCCTGCATATATGTTTGTGCACCGCATTCCTCCAATGCCTTCATGAGCCAGAAGAAGGTGTCAGTCCCATGGGACAGTTATAGATGATGCGGGTGCTGGATTTGAACCTGGGTCCTCTGGAAGAGAAGTCAGTTCACTTATCTACTGAGCTGTCTCTCCAGGTCCTGTGGACACATTTTTTTATTGGAAACTATAGCTGAATTGTGGTTTTGTCTCCCGAAGCATTCATTATAGCTAATACTAACATAATATTTCTCTGGCACAACTGGGATGTAATGTACAGATGTTTTTCAGGCATCTTTTTATTGCTTTGTATAAAAAAAATCCCACCATTCCCTCTTTTCATCGTTTAAAGCTTCACCTTGGGGCTATGAGCTTATTTCTTTAAGCTGGAATTGTCACTCCCATTCTTCCCTGTGATCTTTTCCCTCTCAGTGAAGCCTATCAGATATATGTTGGATATGTCTCAAAGCATATTTTCCATCTTATTCTAAGGGGTCATTTTTGGGTGACTTTGGAGCTGGTTGCAGTGGAAAGTCATAATAAACTAAGCTGGGAACCTGATGGTCTTGACTTAGTGTTTTCCTTCAAACCAGATGTGATGGTGATCCTGCTTCCAGTAATAGTGTTTGTAAAACAGTAGGTGGGTGGACCTAGCAAGAAGTAGTCTATATTCTTTTGTGAGAGCATTTAAGCCCCAAGAGTAGAGAGGCAAGCACTCAGTTTGTCATCTTTCATTGCAGGCCTCTGTTTAATTTCTTTGTGCTTTTGCTCACTGATCTGTGAAAGAACAAAAGTATTACCTGGCAGGGTAATTCCAAAGATGACGTAAGCTAAACTAAGTAAAGCACTTAGAACTGTGCACAGCACATAGCAAATTTACAGAAAATGGTACATTTTGTTCTGATTTATGGATATCCTTAGCCTCCTTTGTTCTTCCATATAATTATTCCACTAAGGTTGAATGATAGTGAAATTGAAAGACAGCACTTTAAGGACCAAGATATGTATTCTGATAAATCTGACAAAGAAAATGATCAAGAGCACGATGAGTCTGACAATGAGGTGATGGGGAAAAGTGAAGAAAGTGATACAGATACATCAGAAAGACAAGATGATTCTTACATTGAACCAGAGCCCATTGAGCCTTTAAAGGAGACCACCTACATGGAGCAGAGCCATGAAGAACTCGGGGAGGTGAGCACTTTCTAGGGCCAGAGAGACTCCAGCTTATTAACTCTAGAAACTTCCCGCACACAATTACAGATATTATTGCCTGGCTTATTGTTTTCCCCAAAGAATATTTATATGCCACATGTTCTTCAGAGGTGTATTGTGAAATTTATTTATATTTATACGTGACCAAAAACATACCCAAATGCCAGTGCGGTCTGCTAAACTTCAAGTCTACATTTTCAAGTCTATTTTTGAAATAGAATATTACTTGATGGCATTGCCAGGTATAAAGTAAATTGTAAATAGTATAAATTTAAAACTTGCTTGTTATTACCAGTGCATATAAAAGTAAATGTATAAAAACAACAAACTACAAATCTGGGTATGGTGGCACATGCCTGTAATCTCAGCACTTGGGAAAATGAAGCAGGAAGTTTGCAAGTTTCAACACAGCCTGGGCTACCTTGTCTCAATAAAAAATAACTTTAACTGAACAAAAAAAAAATAGAACCTGGTTCTTTTGAATATGCTATTATTTTGATACTTCTTGCAGCTCTTTTTTTACTTTTATAGCCTAGACTTTATTACCGAGATGGTTGTTACATGTTTTCATGATACTTGAAGTCATCATGGAGAGTCATGTTTTTATCATTTACTGTTTTGTCTGTGTGTCTAAGATAAATATTTCAGTGCATTGTGTTATAATTGTTAAAGGCAGGTGAAGCTTCTCAAACGGAAACTGTGTCTGAAGAAAACAAAAGCCTTATCTGGACTCTGCTCAAACAAGTCCGTCCTGGCATGGACCTGTCCAGGGTGGTTCTTCCTACATTTATTTTGGAGCCGCGTTCTTTCCTGGATAAACTCTCAGACTACTACTATCATGCAGACTTCCTGTCTGAGTAAGTAGAGTCTTCTAGAAATAGAAGATCCCTGCCTGGGTTTAGCATGCCTTGAGAATGTAGCAAAAGTCAGACATGGTGGCATGCACTTGTAATCTCAGGAGCAGGAGGTGGGGAAAGGTGGATTCCTGCGGCTCAGCAAGGCCAGTGAGAGACTCTGCCTAACAAACAAGGTAGGTAACAGCTGAGGTCATCCTCTGGGGAATAGCAAGTTTGTGCTCACCCTTCCATATTTTACCTGTTGCCACATCTGTGGAGTCTTGGGGCGGTTTTCTGTGCTACTAAGTTTTGGCCCAGTGATTTGGTCTTAAAAATCTGCACCCATATATGCTGTCCATATCTGTTTTCAGTTGTAGTTATTAATCACATTAGTAAACATTGAAAACATAAGTAAATCCATATCAAGAGATGATTGGTATGTTATATATAGGAAAGCTTTACAAATGATGTAGTAGTAAAAGAGCTCGTAATGCCAGCATGGTGGTGCACATTGGTGATGCTGGCATTAAGAGACTTGCTGTGAGCCTGAGGCCAGCCAGGGCTTGTAGCAAGACTTATTCACCCCCTCCCCCAATAAAAAGAGTGCCTAGCTAACAAGCTATCTCTTAGAAATAGAGTGAAGATATCTAATAACTTACAGAAAATGGGAAGTAGAAAAAATGAAATGGAAACAGTTCTTGAATTTGAACCTCATGCAAAATAAGAAAATGCAGATAAAGGCTATAGCAGAATAGTATTGTTTATATATCCCATTGACATGGAGCTTTTACCCTTGTTCTGCTTCCTCTGTAGTTCTTATCTTCATCTCTCTTGGAAAGTAATTCTCAGAATGAAAAGTTCATATGGTGAATTTCTAAGAGATGCTGTTTTCATCAGTGGGAAGGTTGTACCTTAAAGAAAATAATAACAAGTGAATAATAAGAGAGGGCACAGTTTTTTGGCAGCACACATGACTCCAAAGAATTGTGAGGCAATGAGCGTTTTTTGAACATTTTGATCCAGCCTTAGAGCTATAGCAGCTATCGCAGTGCCATTGCTAGCTGGCCTCTCCGTACTTTGTTTCTGCTTATGTGAACCACTCTTACAGAGGTGACTCCACACACACCAACTGATATACTCAAGACTGTTGGACTTAACATCCAGTGTAGCTCAAGTGCCAGCCATAGTTCACTGGCTAAAAAATGTTTGACACATCTGCATATAAAAGGAAGAAATTCATAAAATGATGAAAAAGCCACCAAGGCACACAGGAAATATAATTTACTACATTGTTGTTTAAAGTGGGACTGTTTGTATTTGCTTATTTTTGCTTGAAGAAAACTTTGAAGGAATTGTTTATTTTTTAAGATTTTATTATTTTTTAAATTATGTATTATGTGTGCCCATGCAGGTACCTGTAGAGGTCCGAAGATGGCATCAGGTCCTTTAGAGCTGTAGTTACAGGTGGTTGTGAACCTTTTGACTTGGCTGCAGGGGACCAAACCGAGGTCCTTTGCAAGAACAGTCCATGCATTTAACCACTGAGCTCTCTAAGAGTCTTTTAAAAATAAGCCTGTATTGGTTAATTTTCTGTTATGACAAAATACCAAGGCAGCTTACTGAGGGGAGAGTTTAAATAGACCATCGTGACACGGGAAAGGGGTGGGTATGCCAACAAGGAGCAGGCAAAGCAGAGAGAGCAGAAAGTATGAGAAGGCTATGTACTCTTTAAAGCCCACCCCCAGTGACATACTTCCTCCAGCAAAGCCACACCTCCTAAACTCTCCTAAGCAGTGCCCACCAAGTTAGGGACCAAGTGTTCATATGGAGCCTTTCTGGTTGTCAGTAATCCTAAGTCTAGCCTCTGCCACTTTGCACCTTGTCTTCAAATTCAGAGTCCACTGTCAGATGCACTTGTGAAAACAGAATGTAGTAAATAGCTACATTACAAACAACAGTGAAAACAACTTGCCAGTAAAAGTCACTTCAAGGGTGCTGGAGAGATAGCTCAGAGTTTAAGAGCACTGGCTGCTCTTCCAGCGGTCCTGAGTTCAGTTTCCAGCACCCACATGGTGGCTCACAACCATCTATAGTGGGATCTGTTGCCCTCTTCTGGCATAAAAGCATACATGGGAGATAGAGTACTCATATATAAAATAACGTTTTTAAGTCACTTCGAATGTTCACAATCACTTCTTTAGCAGTTGCAATAATAGTCAAATGGCCAGGGACAAAGGGAAGCCGAGTCCTGGCTCCTCTAGGTTTCTTCTGTACAGACTAGGTGTTACCCTGGTAGTTTGTTCCGGGGGAAAGTCGGCTGGTAACACAACACAGACAGGAAGAGCAGAGGACTGTTTGGCAAAACCCTGTAGATGGGCATGGTAACACACAAGGAGGGTGAGGGACTGACTGGGGACACACTGCTGGCTGGACTTAATGACTCTCCTTTCACACTTGTCACATGGAACATCAGCTTTGTAGCAGGGACACAAAACCCACAAGTCCTTGATCGGAAAGGCCGCCATCAGCCCTCTGTTCTCTCTCCTGTGTACGTTCATTTCTAACACCAGCTGTCCAGGTCAGATGTAACCAGGTGAACACTGACTGACTGACTGACTGACTGACTGACTGATGCTCCTTCTCAGACAATGGGACTGACCTGTAGTCAAAACTGTTGACTGGGCTTCAAGGCACCACACAACGTGTGGATCTTGAAAATCTGTGTTTGTTTTTATGGGAGAAAGAGGATCGTTTGTTCTTTGGCTTCTGGTTCCTGTGGAAATCCCTAATCTTGGGGAGGCATGGCAGCAGGTAACTTGAGCAAGAAGCTGAGAGATCGCATCTCCAGGCAACTCAAAAAGCAGGGAGTGGTTACTTTTTGATCATAGTTACTCACAGGCCTCCTTGTTAATCCTGGGCGCTACAGAATCCCATTTCTGACACTTGGGTTTGGAACTTCCAAAAAAAAACAAAAACGTTTTCAGCAGTGACCCAGGTAGTACATGAAAACATGAAAAGATCACAAAGCTGGGATAAGGCAACCAGATTAAAAGAGGAAAGTGGTTCTTTACAGATTTGTTTTTATTAGTTTTTTTAAATGTGTGTGTATCTATTGGGGGGGTTGGGGGTATACTCACATGAATGCAGACAACCCATAGATGCCAGAGGAGGGAATTGGAGTTGGAGTTGCAGTCAGTTGTGAGCCATTGGACAAGGGTGCTGGGAATGGACCTCTGGCCCCCTGCCAGAAGAATAAGCAGTGTTAACCTCTGAGATAGCTCTCCAGCAGCAAGGAAAAGTTTCTAGAGGTAAATTTACATGAGTGTTTTACTGTGTACTTAAATATGAATTAGGTTTCCAACTATAAGTCATAGTAAGTTAGGAAGAGAATTTGTGATCACGTGAAATGATTATATTTATCATTTTGGTTTTTAGGGCTGCTCTTGAAGAAAATCCATATTTCCGTTTGAAGAAAGTTGTGAAATGGTACTTGTCAGGATTCTATAAAAAGCCAAAGGTAGTGTTTGTACTTTGCTTCTTTATTCCACCTTTTTATTTGTGTGTAAATATTTGTGTAGATATCTGGGTGCTATGGTGGACATGTGGAGGTCAGTTCTGTCCTTACATCATGTAAGTCTTGGGGATCAAGCAAGTCGTGAGACTTGGAGGCAAATGCCTTCACCTGCTGTGGCATCTCACTACGCACGCACACAGGAGCGGTTCATGTTCCTGAGCCTTTATTTTCTTAGTCATTACGATAGACTGAGGGGTGCTACATAAGTAACACGTAGGATACAACGCATGTGTGTGGTAGCTAGAGCCAAAACAGTCCTTCTTTGTTCTGGTTCATCTTCTCTATCCCAAGCAGTTCAGTCAGAAAGCAAGAGTAACAAGTATGTTTGAAGGAGCAGTGACAGGAAGAGATTATGAGAATAGAATAAAATGCTTTAATCTGGAAAGATGAACAGCCAATGGAGGACAGCTACCACCACTAACTTAATGACAATCACTGTGTCCACAGAGAAGTGTGCTTTAAGAAAGGAGATCTCAACCTTCTCCAGTTAGAGTCTGTGAATTTCCATTGTGCTGGTCAAGCAGTAAGTGAGAACTATCACACAGTAGAATTTCATGGAAAGAGCCTCAAAACATAAATTAGAAAATTGAGTTTTTATTTCTAAGAACATTATGAACTGTATGTGTGAACCCAGACAACTCACTTAAACTTTGAGCCTATCTCAAAAGATCTAAAAGATAGAGATGTTGACATACAAATACTGTATTATCTGGCGTTTCCAATGCTGATTAAATACCAAAAAGAGATGGTATCTAAAAGATACCTGCACCCCCATGTTCATTACTTCACTATTTGCAGTAACCAAAATACAGGACAACTCAGCCTCCAGCAAATGAATGAGTGGAGATGTTGAACCACTCAGTTGTCGGGTTTGTGTTTGTTTGTTTGTTTGAAGCAACCATTGCTTTCTTGATGCAGCATCTTAGAGAAATGTCCTGCATCTCTCACAGTTGCTTTCTTATTGTTTTAATTTTCTTTTTTTCTTTCTTTCTTTCTTTCTTTCTTTCTTTCTTTCTTTCTTTCTTTCTTTCTTTCTTTCTTTTTTTGAGACAGGGTTTGTCTGTTTTGTTTTGGAGGCTGTCCGGAAACTCGCTCTGTAGACCAGGCTGGCCTCAAACTCACAGAGATCCGCCTGTCTCTGCCTCCCGAGTGCTGGAATTAAAGGCGTGCGCCACCAACGCCCGGCAAGTTTTATTTTTATTTCATGTAAATTTTGTTTACTGTGAAGCATTATAAGATGGTCTTCCAAATAAGACAATTTAATTTTAAACCTGTATTTGTAATTTTTAACTTGTAGGGTTTTTGTTGTTATTGTTTGTTTAACTAGGGACTGAAGAAACCATATAATCCTATACTCGGTGAGACTTTCCGTTGTTTATGGATTCATCCCAGAACAAACAGCAAAACCTTCTATATTGCGGAACAGGTATAAGAAACACTAACTTGGTAAATCACTGTTGTTTAGCTTCTTGTTAGGGAAGGTTTGGTAAACATTGGACATTCTAATGCGGAACACTACTCCATATCACACTGATGAGTGTTGCTGTCCCAACCCATCCGGTTTGACTATCTTGTGTGGTTGCTGTCAAGATGTCAGCCAGTCTTCACTTACCCTTACTTTTGACTGGAGTGAGCGATTGTTGTGAAGAGAGTTTAGTTTCTCAGCATGTGGTCCCTCCATATAGTTTTACTCCATCACAATACCTTGCTTACTCAGAACTTTGAGCACCTCTGTGTGTGGGCTCATGCCTCATGTGGAGGAGGGAGAGAGGAGGGAGACGGTGTCCTAATAGCCTCCCGGATGGAAGCTATTTAATAATCTCATTAGAAATGCTATATTATCATTCCCACACAAACTTGTTGATTCACACCCAGCCTTGGAGTGTGCATGCCAGGAGGTGGATTTCCTTGGAGACAGAAATCCGGACTGTAGTCATTAAGATTCATTCGTTGCTTACCAACTATTCCTTGTTACTCCTTCTTAGATGTGAACTTTTGATGCTAGCATAACAGTATGCCTGTTTTGTTAAATGGCATGATCTTTCCTGTGTTCAATAGGTGTCCCATCACCCACCAATATCTGCCTTTTATGTTAGTAACCGAAAAGATGGATTTTGCCTTAGTGGTAGCATCCTGGCTAAGTCCAAGTTTTATGGTGAGTTGTTCCTTGTCCCTAAACTGTGCTTTTCCAAAACTTAGTGTTTTCTGTTGTTTTTATTTGTAAATAAATTAATTTTATTATGTCATTTTGGCAAGGAATTCTTGTCTTTTAAGCATCTTTAATCCTGACTCCTGTTTAATTCTTGCACACTTAGAAGTAAGGCATGTTTTACCTAACTTCATCACATGCATGTAACAAACTTTGACACTGGATCACTCAGTGATGGTATTTAGCCTTGGACCAAATAGCACACTGTTGAAAATGTTTGTGAGTACAAGAAAGGAATATGGAGAAATTTGGTTTTAGTGGGAAACCTTAACACAATGCCTTTGACAGTTCAAACAAAGCATAACCAAAACTGCATAATAGTAGAAAATATCTGTAAGTGCTATTATTTGGCTTTTTAATTTTAAAGATATTTAAAAAGCTTTGAGAATTCAACTAAGGAATCTTAAACTGAGAGAAAACAATCATAAGGGAGAAATAGAAAAGGTAAAAGTAAACAGAAGTCTAAATTTTAATTACATGAGAGGATAGAGAGTCAGAAACTAGTCTACACAGGAAATCTAAATTATAACAACTTCCACCAGGAGTGTGGCACATGCTTTTCATTTTAAAAGATGTTCCCCTACTTAATTTTCTTTTGATATTTCATATTAACATTACTCCTTCCCTGTCTAGCTACACTCCCCATACCCACGTGACTTTGAAGCTGTCTGCTCCACTCTGTAGACATCTTTTACTGAGCACAGGTGCATGGCTTATGTTCAGGGGTTGCTCTGCACTGTGCTCTTTTTTCTTATGTGTTAACATGACTTATGAACACCAGGGCTGGTTCTTTATAGTTTGGAAAAATCCAGAGTTCACAGGGGTACTTTAAACTTAAAAAAAAATCCTCATTATTTCCTTTGAGTAAGACATCTGGGATGGTGTTTAACTCACAAAGTAGCCTATTAGGCACTCAGTTGGAGTCTAGAAAAGTTGATATAGAGATAGGGACAAGTTATGGTTGTGCATAAATATTTGCAGACTTTTATATAAATATTCACAACATTATTCTTTGGCTCATGACAGATCAACAGAACCAAATGTCGACTTGTATAGACAGACCTCTTATAGCTATTGGAGTGATTATCAATTTACAAAATGAATACTTGTTACAATAGCATAGATAAATCTGAAAAATATGTGCTGGGTAAAATAAGCCAAATATGTTATATATTTTATAATGTGTGCTAGAATTGGGAAAATACAACGATAGGAAACATCAGTGTTCCCCAGAGATAATGGGGACTTTTTTTTTTTTTTTGGCTTTTTTCAAGACAGAGTTTCTCTGTGGCTTTGGAGGCTGTCCTGGAACTAGCTCTTGTAGACCAGGCTGGCCTCAAACTCACAGAGATCCGCCTGCCTCTGCCTCCCAAGTGCTGGGATTAAAGGTGAGCGCCACCAACGCCCGACGATAATGGGGACCTTTCAGGATGGTAGTTTAGATAGGTGTAGCTCGTATGTTGGTCAGTAGGTAAGCAGGCAAAGAGATAGACATGTGGACAGGGAATCAAACATCAAACCACACCTTGTGCATGGTAGACAAGGGCTGCATTACTGAGCTACATTCCCACCCCTCAGTCATTTGAGGTGGTCTTTCTATATAGTGCGGGCTGATGCTGAAGCCCCAGCCTGTGTCTAGATGTCGATGTAGGTATGTGCTAGTGTAAGTGAACCCTCTATGCGGTGCCACATACTGTCACACTTAGTGCTTAAAATAGGCCATTCAGTGTATGTTATGCTCCATCAGTGATGCAGAGGTTAAGGAAAGATATAGGCCATTCATTGTATGTTAATTATACTCTAACGTCAAAGATACAGAGGTTCAGGAAAGAAATGGCCATTTATTATATGTTAATTATACTCTAACATCAAAGATACAGAGGTTAAGGGAAAAAAAAGACAGAGACAAGCGAGAAGAAATCACTATGGCATTTTATCACCTGGAGTGTACCAATTTTTAAATCATTAGTAGGATCATTGAATAAATTATAAATATTTAAAACCTGAGACTCATCTATATGTGACTTAGAGATCAATATTCAGACAAGGCAAACTAAACTGTACAATGAAGCAGTATTTTGTTGGCTATTATATTTGTTAGGTATTTTTTCATTTTACTTTCCTAAACAAGTACTGATCTAAGCCTTTTGAAAATGCTTATTTTATAAGAATGGGAATATGAATCAAGTAATACATGAGGTAAACTCATGTATTGAGTTTTAAATTTTTCTCCTGGAAAAATTAGTAGATGTCCCAAATATACTTTGTTTTGAATTGTTTAGTTTTGTGAAATTTAATACTTTTTTTTTCTTTTTTAAGGAAACTCATTATCTGCGATACTAGAGGGAGAGGCACGATTAACTTTCTTGAATAGAGGTGAAGATTACGTTATGACAATGCCATATGCTCATTGTAAAGGTAAATATTGTCTATACTTACATCAGGTGTTTCTTGGCTTGTAAATGTATGTGAATGGAGTTTGTTGTGTTTGAAATAGTCAGACATTGTTTGGAAACTTTGGCCCATAGTTACTTGAGAGTTTTGTTGTTTGCTGACTATTTCTGTGGTGGATTAATTCACACATAATAGTCATATCTGTTTTTTGATTGTAAGAATTTTATGTATAATAATGGAATTTACTTGCACTTACCTCCGATGAAAGTTTTGAAATTAAATGAAACTACTTCTTCGGAATCCTGAAAAGTTATTTTATGCACTCTTGAACTAATAACCTTTATAAAGTATTAACCTTTTTTCCTCTTTTTTTAATAGTTTATTTTATTTTATGTTCATTTTGACTGCATGTATGTCTCTGTGAGGGTGTCAGAAACCCTGGAACTGGAGTTACAAATGTGAACTGCCATATGGGTGCTGGGAGTTGAACCTGGGTCCTCTAGAAGTGCTCTTAACTGCTGAGACATCTCTCCAATTCTTCAATGTATCAAGTCCTTTAAATGTTTTTCTTCACTCTCATCTGACAATTTCTTTTTATTGAGTTTTAGTCTTGTCTCAGGCTTCCTAGTGTGTGCCTCAACACTTACCTTATATTTGGCAAAAAACTAGCTAATGTTCAGAGCTTTGTATATAGTTCTTAAAATATCTACAATTGTAAATGGATAAGAATCCATTGATTCTTTGTGGGTCTCATGTCATGCGTCTTGATCCCATTCATCTTCCGGCCCCCTCACCTCCGCCCTCTACCCTTGTGGCCTCCCCCTCAAAACATAATTTAAAAGTAAAACCAAGACAAACAAACAAAAAACAAAAAAACCAAAGAACAGAAAACAAGGCAAAATACACAAAAAAACAAATTAAAAAAATCTAGGCATGGAAGCTGTAGTGTGGCCCAGTAAGTCACACAGTTTACACTTTAGTCCATACATCTTTATTTGTGTTACTGCATTGAGTCATTGGTCTGGTTTGCGGTTCTGTTGAACCATCCCTGCATACCAGGAATGAAACCTACTTGATCATAGTGGAGGAGTTTTCTGATGTTCTTGGATCCTATTTGCCAGTGTTTTATTGAGTATTTTTGCATCAATGTTCATGAGGGATATTGGTCTGAAGTTCTCTTTCTTAGTTGTGTCTTTGTGTGGCTTGGTATCAGTGTTATTGTAGCCTTGTAAAAAGAGTTTGGAAAACACCCTTCTGCTTCTATTGTATGGAATACCTTGAGGAGAATTGGTATAAGCTGTTCTTTGAATTTCTGGTGAAATTCTGCACTAAGGCCATCTGGCCCTGGGCTTTTTTGGGTTGGGAGACTTTTGATGACTACTTCTATTTCCTTAGGTGTTATAGGTCTATTTAAATTGCTTATCTGTTCTTGATTTAATTTTGGTAAGTGATATCTAGCCAGAAAATTGTCCATTTCGTTTAAATTTTCAAATTTTGTTGAGTACAGATTTTCAAAATATGACCTGATGATTCTCTGGATTTCCTCAGTGTCTGCTATTATGTCCCCCTTCTCATTTCTGATTTTGTTAATTTACATGTTCACACTCTGCTGTTTGGTAAGTTTCGATAAAGGTTTGTCTGTCTTGTTGATTTTCTGAAAGAACCAACTCTTCGTTACATTGATTCTTTGTATTGTTTTCCTAGTTTCTACTTTATTAATTTCAGCCCTCAATTTAGTTATTTCCTGGCATCTGTTCCACTGGGGTGAGTTTGCTTCCTTTTGTTCAAGAGCTTTCAGTTGTGTGTGAGTCAATTCTCTAATGTGACTATTCTCCAGTTTCTTTATGTGGGTACTTAGTGAACTTTCCTCTTAGCACTGCTTTCAAAGTGTCTCATAAGTTTGAGTATGTTGTGCCTTCTTTCTCATTGAATTCTAGGAAGACTTTAATTTCTTTTTTATTTCTTCTTTGACCCAGGAATGGTGCAATTGCGCATTAATTCAGTTTCCATGAGTTTGTAGGGTTTCTGCAATTTGTGTTGTTGAATTCTAACTTTAACACATGGTGGTCTGATAAGATATAGAGGTTATTCCAATTTTTTTGTATCTGTTCAGGTTTGCTATGTTGCCAAGTATGTGGTCGATTTTTGAGAAGGTCCCCTGTGGCTGAGAAGAAGGTATATTCTTTTGTGTTTGGATGGAATGTTCTATAGATGTCTGTTAAACCCAATTGTGTCATAACGTCTATTAGTTCCTTTGTTTCCTTGTTAAGTTTCTGTCTGGTAGTCCTGGTAGTCCTGTCTAGTGAAGAGAGTGGGGTGTTGAGTCTCTCACTATAAGTGTGTGAGGTTTTATATGTGATTTGAGTTTTAGTTATGTTTCTTTTACAAACGTGGATACCTTTGTATTTGGGGCATAGATGTTCAGAATTGAGACTTCATCTTGGTGGAGTTCTCTTATGATGAGGATGAAGTGACTTCCTTCACCTCTTTTGATTTATTTTAGTTTAAAGTCTAATTTGTTAGATATTAGGATTGCTACCCCTGCTTGTTTCTTGGGTCCATTTGATTGGAAAATCTTTTCCCAACCCTTAATTCTGAAGTAGTGGCTATCTTTGAAGCTGAGGTGTATTTCTTGTATGCAGCAGAAGAATGGATTCTGTCTTCGAATCCATTCTGTTAGCCTGTCTCTTTTTATGGGCGTTAAGACTATTAATATTAAGGGATATTAATGACCATTGATTGCTCGTTCTTGTTTGTTTTGGAATGGTTCTTGTTGGTGGAATTGTATGTGGATTTCCACCCCTTTTTTCTTTTGCCTGTTGGTAAAGTGGGATTATCTATTGCCTATGTTTTTCTGGTTTTAGTTTACTTCCTTAGGTTGGCGTTTTCCTTCCAGAATTTTCTATAGGGCTGGGTTAGTGGGTATGTATTGTTTAAATCTGGTTTTGTCATGAAATATCTTGTTTTCTCCATCTATAGTGATTGAAAGCTTTGCTGGGTATAGTAGTCTGGGCTGACTTCCGTGGTCTCTTAGTGTTGGTAGAATATCTATTCAGGACCTTCTGGCTTTCAGAGTTTCCATGGAGATGTCAGGTGTAATTCTGTTAGGTTTGCGTTTATATGCTACTTGGCCTTTTTCCCTAGCTGCTCTTAATATTCTTTCTTTACTCTGTATGTTTGGGGTCTTGATTATTATGTGTCTAGAGGATTTTTTTTTTGTGGTCCACTCTATTTGGTGTTCTGTAAGCTTCTTGTACCTTCATTAAGCATGTCTTTCTTTAGGTTGGGTAAGTTTTATTTTATGATTTTGTTGAATATGTTTTCTGCCCCTTTGAGGTGAGTTTCTTCACCTTCTATACCTATTATTCTTAAGTTTGGTCTTTTCACAGTGTCACATATTTCCTGGATATTTTGTGTTAGGGATTTGTTGGACTTAAAATTTTCTTTGGTGAATGAATCTATTTCTCATAGTGTATTTTTAGTGCCTGAGATTCTCTCTTCCATCTCTTGTATTCTGTTGATTATGGTTTGTCTTTTCTTCCATCTCTTTAGGGGGTTTTCTCATATCCTCTTTGAGGGCCTCTATCATTTTCATGAAATTGTTTTTAACGTCATCCTCTTCTGCTTCTTTTGTGTTGGGTTGTTCAGGTCTTACTGGTGTAGGGTCTCTAGACCCTGGCGGTGTCATATTGGTTTTTCTGTTGCTGAGTGTGTTTTTATATTATATCCCTCCCATCCGTTCTTCCAGTGGGTGCAGAAGGTGCTTCTTCCTCTCCTTGTGGGTGTGGGACCAGGGTTCCCTTCCAGTGGGTATAGGCAAGTCCACTGTTCCGGTAGCTCTCCTCTTCCTGGTCCCGTGGGTGGAGAAATGAACTAGGATGCTGGGGTGCTTTGGATCCCACTGGGATGGGTGGGAGCCCCAGTGGTATACCCCAGGCACAGGAGTGTGGCCTGAAGACAGGCCCTGATAGTCTTAGTCCTGTGAGTGGAGCAGGAGACTAGGATGATGGGGCATGTTGGCTCCTGCAGCAGGGATGGAAGCCACAGTGGCAGACCCCAAGCACAGTCAGGTGGCCTGGAAGTGGGCCCCAGTTTATCTAGTCCTAGTCCCGTGGGTGGAGCAGGAGACTAGGATGGTTGGGTGTGTTGGCTCCTGCAGCAGGGATGGAAGCCGCAGTGGTAGCCATAGGGAATTTTTAAAGGAAGATTTTCTGTGTTTTCTATATTGCTAAGTTTCATGAATTACTTTATAAAGTAGGAGTTTCATGACCAAATAAGTATGAGAAACATTTCATAGTTTGTTTTCTCTCAGAAGTTAACATTGTATGTTTACTATTAAAGTTCAGCTCAGTCACATACTTCAATAAAACACCGTTCAACTTCCTTTAATTTAGAATGTGTTTTCAACACAGAACCTAAATTAGCACATATGAGAACCCTGGTTTCTAGGGAAGATAATGAGGTGACATTCTAGGCTCTTGTCACAGTGTTTCCATGGGCTAATGAGCACATGTTGCTCACTTACCGCCACTGAGCTATCAGCTGACACTTCACTCACCTGAAGAAAGCATTAGCGTGTGATCCTCTGTAGGGCTCCTGGTAACCTTACACTTCAGAGCACTGTGCTGCAGCACTTCCCCATTGCACTGCACCAGCTTCCAAAAAAGTGCAAAGCACGTGACCAACACACCCTTCTGAAGGGGCACTGTGTTGTGTTGTTTTGTTTTCAGTACGGTCATTGAAGCAACACAGTGGGCTAGTTGTGCCTCAGCATCAGTTTCCTCACAAGCATGGATTACCGCACAGCACAGGGGCAGTGACTGAGGTTTCCCTATGTAGTTAAAAATGTTTATTACAAGTCAGGAGATGGCTCAGTGGTTAAGAGCACAGCTCTTCCAGAGGTCCTGAGTTGAATTCCCAGCAACCACATAGTGGACTCACAACCATCTATAGTGGCATCTGATGCCCTCTACTGGCATAAAGGTGTATATGTGGATGGAGCACTCATATACATGAAATAAATAAATATACAAATAAATAAAGCATTTAAAAATGTTGATTACACTCACGTAAACTATAAACATGTGGAGGTCAGAGGGTAACCTCTGGGTGTCAATCTTTCTTTCTACGTTGTGGTCCCCACAGTCCACCTCAGATCCTAAGGCATGACCGGATGCTGAGTCTCAATGACCCACCTCTGTACTTTAAATAAACAGTCTGTAAAGTTGACAGCTAAACATGACATGAATATGCTTTATGTTCTAAAACAAACTTTATGTCTACTTTCCAAGTTTTTTGTTGGGTGAGGCAGTATGCCCTTAGATCACAGGTTTCTCCTAGAAAGTATACCAAATTATAGAACGCTTCTTATTTTATGTCAGTATCTCTCTGTCTGAGCTTCTGTCGGTTTTCTTTTTCCTTAGGAATTCTTTATGGCACAATGACACTGGAGCTTGGTGGCACCGTCAATATCACCTGTCAAAAGACTGGATACAGTGCAATACTTGAATTTAAGCTAAAGGTTGGCAAATGATGGTATTACCCGATTAAGGGAAAGCTGTGTTGTAAATACTGAAGAAAACAATATAGATTTGTTATGGAACAAGAACTAAACATAAAAACATGATTTATGTCAGGTCAAAGAGAAATACATCCAAGGACATTCTCTGCAAGTATATTGGTACAGCCTGAAAAAGTTTAGAAGATAAAGGTTAACATGAAAGCCACCATTCCTATGATTTTTAATTTAGTGATAAAACTTGGCACTGTAGAAGAAATAAGACTTTAAAAAGTGATTGGATTGACATATATCTGTGAAGTAAAACCTTGCTTTATAAAACCCCAGAAGGTAGATATGAATTATGACTCTGGTTCCATACAGTAAGAGAATTTCTGCATAAAAAATTATTTGAACACCCATGCTTAAGATTAACTATGTGCTACTCCTCATCAGATTTACATGTCAAAAATTTGAATGGGGAATATTGGAGGTGGTCTGTCTCTTACAAAATGTTGGGCATCAGGAAATCTTGCAAAATGTGAGTGATTGAGCTGAGACCAGGATCCACTAAAGACTTGCCTACTTCTGATTCTGATGCTGGAAAGGCCACGACTGTTACTCTGAGCCCCTGTTCATGTGATCTTACCATGTGATTTCACTTCTTGATAGCATGGCCGCTTTAAGCTACTGGAGGTCTTCCCTAGCAGCACAAGGTCTCAGCAGCACGCTGAGAGCTTGGTCGCCTTCCATCCTAGTCTTAAAAGACAAATTTACAATGCCTCTATCTTCTATTGACGTTCACACCCACCCAGGCTCAGGGGAGGAGGGACATTGACGCATTTCTCTGGGTAGGAGGCTGGCAGGGTCTCATTGAAGAAAAGCAAAGTGTGGGACCAGAGAGGAAATGTGTGGGTACTGCTGAAGCCGTCTTTGGAAAATTCTGTCTGCTTCAACAAAGTTTAGAAATCTTGTCACAATGTCAGTTATAATTTAGTACATCGTGTTCGGATAAAAATAGGGACTATAATGATAGGGTGTTGTTAATTGCTTCCATGTTGATATGCCAATGACCAGAGTCTCTTTCTAATGAAAAGGATCTTATTTGATGCAGTGCCCTTTGCTTTGCCAGTTTTTACAAATGTGGACATACTAGTCTGACAATCATGATGAAAGTGGTCCTAAATAGTTCCTCGTGTCATTAAGTCATTAAGCATCATGATGGTGTCTCTAAGGAAAGACACTACTAAAAATAGTGACCCAAAGTCTACTCCTTCTCATTGTTTTCAAATTTTCCAATTCCCTCAGTTTTCTGAGTTCTTACTGTGTTGCCACATTGACAAGCTCAGGCCTAGAGGTCGTTATACCTGTGTGATCTTCTTGGATTATTTAGATTTCATTGTCTGTTTTTAAACTGTAATTTTCATAGTCACAATTCAGATTTATTTATTTATTTTGGGGGGGGCTGGTTTCGAGACAGGGTTTCTCTGTGGCTTTGGAGTCTGTCCTAGAACTAGCTCTTGTAGACCAGGCTGGTCTTGAACTCACAGGGATCCTCCTGCCTCTGCCTCCCGAGTGCTGGGGAGATTTATTTTTATTGAAAGTTTCTAACTTAAATTTGAGTCAGATTTCATTGTTTTTACTTTCAAGAATGTAGTAACTGTAATTTCTTAATGTGTGGTTATCTACAATGTATGTAAATATAAACTAAAATGTTCAATATTTTCTTTTTTAAAAGCCATTTTTAGGGAGTAGTGATTATGTTAATCAAATATCAGGGAAACTTAAATTGGGAAAAGAAGTCCTAGCTACTTTGGAAGGCCATTGGGTAAGTATTTTTATATATTAGCACTACAAAAATAATTGTATCTGATGGAGAAAAATAGACAGTCATATTGTGAAGGTGTCACTAAATAAGCCTCATCTTAAAAGCAGGTATTTTGGCATTGCTCTGTTGCCAGTGACACTGTTTTATGTTTCTAAGACTTTAAATTAGAGGAAGTAGCTATCGTATGGCGTTTGCTGGGTACATTATTAGGAGTGTAACTCGTATTTGTCATTTAATACTTAGTTGGACTTCATGGAGTTGGTACGCAGATACCCATTTCTTATTGTCTTTATTTAGTCTCTGTGTGTGCATGTAACACAGAAGTAGAAGACAGAAGACCACTTATGGGATCCAGTGTGCTCGTTCTACCATAAGGGTTCCAGGAGCCAAGCCCAGGCATTGGAGCTGATAGCAAGCACCTTCCCTAGCTGAGCCATCTTGCTGACACATGTATAAGATGTGTCCATTTGAAAGGAAGGAAACTAACACGGGGGACATGTGGACAGTTAGCACGGGGCACGTGGAGAGTGAGCAGCAAGCTGAGCCCTGAGCCGGGGACTTTGCCTGTGCGGCACTTTAGTGGTTCCAGTTAGAGTCATGTTTCTTCTGGGGACTTTGCCTGTGCGGCACTTTAGTGGTTCCAGTTAGAGTCATGTTTCTTCTGGGGACTTTGCCTGTGCAGCACTTTAGTGGTTCCAGTTAGAGTCATGTTTCTTCTGGGGACTTTGCCTGTGCGGCACTTTAGTGGTTCCAGTTAGAGTCATGTTTCTTCTGGAGGAAGTACATAAAAACAGTGACTTTGATTTACTTCTCTGACAACCTAGATTCATAGTTATTTAATTTCTTACAAGGAGCCTACGTGACTGAAATTGAATTATGGTATATTTCTTAGATGCATTTTTACTATGAACACTAAGGATATGCAAGTCTGCATTATAATAAGCAAAAAAAAAACAGGATGAAAAATGAAGCTGGATTTAGAGGTTCAGCCAATGACTACATAGGTTCTGCAAAATGTTTTTTTAAATTGTATGTGTGAGAGTGTACGAGAATGTAAGTACGCATGTGTGGATGTGTAAGAGCGTGTGTGTCCTCTCCTTTTACCATGTGTGTCTCAAGAATAGGTCATCAGACTTGGTGGCAATTGCCTTTACCCACACAGGCATCTCCCTGGTCCCTGCAATATGTTATTTGTTTTTTGAGACAGGGTTTCTCTGTGTAACAGCTCTGGCTGTCCTAGAACTAGCCCTGTAGACCAGGCTTGCCTTGAATTCACAGAGTTCTGCCTGACTCTGCCTCCCTAGTACGGGGACTAAAGGCATGCGTGACCCTGAAAAATGTTTTAATTGACTTCCTATCTGAATGTTATTTGGAACAATGATAAAGCCATTTTTGTCATTTATTTTATTTTGGGTCTCATGCTGCAGTCCTGCCTGGCCTCAAACTCAGAGAGATCCTCCTGTCTCTGCCTCCTTGGTGCTGGGATTAAAGGCATATACCACCACAGCTGGCAAAATTGGTGTTCTTTAAAAAAAAAAGTCTAAGATTGTGTTCAATTTTTAGTGCTAAGAGTCTCAGAAGTTTTTTAATAATTTGATTTCCTACATTGTCCTCAGTATCACATGCTCTTCTGCGACAGTTCAAATATGAAGCTTGAGGCTTTGCCTGTAATGAAACTTATATAATATTGTCAACTTTCTATGTAGTCAGCCAATTTTTCTAATTGATTGGTATTATATATTTAAACTCCTATTTTTATACAAATTGAAAAAATGGGGATCTGAGGAATGTATGGTTACATTTTCTTTAAGATTTTTTTCATATACTTCAACAGCAGGAAGAATTTATTAGTGTGTTGCTATACTTTGTAGTCCTCCTCTAAATAAAAATGAGTATATTTGTGTTTAATTCCTTTACATACAGGATAGTGAAGTCTTCATTAATGACAAGAAGACCGATAACTCGGAGATTTTCTGGAATCCAACCCCTGACATTAAGCAGTGGAGATTAACAAGGCACACTGTGAAATTTGAAGAGCAGGATGATTTTGAATCAGAGAAGTAAGTCTACCATTTTTAGCTGACTTAATGCACATATGGATTATTTCAAATTATATAGTAGTGTAGTCAGACTATTCTGTCTGCTGTTAAGTTTATTCAGCAAGAGAGTTTACTGTCATTGGTGGGACTGAGAGCATTCTGTGTTGGTGAGTTTCACCTAAGTACTTCACAAGTCGTCTTGTTTCTCCGCAGGGCAGAACTGAAATGTCCTGGTTTTCCTCTCCTACTTGAGTGTTCTAAATTTCTCTTTGCATAAATTATAGAACCCACTAATGGCTCTTAGTTTCTGCCTGGCAACTGCTTCATGATCTGGTATATGCCTGTGGAAAGATGATGTAGAGAGTGAAACAACTACTTTTGTTCTATCCTCTGATCCCAGAAAAATGCCACTTAATGCCCTGGTTCCCAAAGGACTTAAATTAGTTGGGCAGTGCCATCATTAATGTCACTATTTCTGTTAGTAAGTCTTGGAATTCTTTCTAGAATTCTGAACACTTTTGGGTAACGTTGCAGTTTGTATTTTATGAAGAGTTCTGTATAAACATTACTGTACTGTACACTTGATACCTGTGAGTCCTTACTCTGTAGTCCTGCTTCTATGAATTGAGTCTGCATGTACTTTATTTTCTACATAAAATACAGGGTGACAGCATTGGAAAATATGTATGCACCAGTTTTTTAAGTCCTGTTTCAGGTGTAACCATATGATGCTTCCTGTCCAACAGGACATGCAGACATGCAGCATATTTTGATGTGTGTATATGTTTCAACGTTTTTTTTTATTTTTTAATATGGGGTTTTATGTCAAGAGAAGTGGTCTTGAATTTGCTATGTAGCTGAGATAGAACTTGAACTGTTATTACTGACCCTCTTGCCTCTACTTCCCAGGACTGGGACCATGGGCATCCTCGACTGGGTCCAGCTCAACATATATTAAGGACAAGATAATAAGACTTAGAAAAGGAACCTTTTCCATTGGCTAAGTGGATGGCATAGAAAATTAACCTGTGTATAATGAACTTTGAGGCCTGTTTCAGTTCTGACATGTTGCCTTCTCATATGGATGAGATATAGATTTTGTATTCTCATGTAGCTGATGAAAAAAACTAAATTCTTATGGGGGAATCATGTTTCTCATGCTATATTTCGCTACATCACTGGTTCTCAGCAGTATTGGTGTACTTAAACATAGGAAGCATTTAGAGTCTGTTCCTTGGGTCTGTTCCTAGAGACTGAGTTTAAGAGTTTGTTGATAACTTTTGCAGCCAGGGTCTCTGGTGGACTACCCTGAGGCATATGACTCCTGAATAGTATGCGTCCAGGACCAGCTAAAGAGCTGTTTTAACGTAGATTACTGAGAGGACTTCTTCACTGCAGTCCTGTCAACCTCAGTCAGCAGTTTTCACTGTGTGCTTAAGAGCCCAGGTAATTGATTTCTCTTGCCAAAAAGAAAGTAGCCTTCACTTAGTGGTTGTTGCCACTTTGAGGCATTGAGTTCTGTTTCTTGATTCATTTCTGAGCCTATGAGCATAACATAAGCATTGTCAAGCCCGAAATCCACATGAGCAGTGTTTGTTCTCAACAAAAATAAAAATCTGTATAAATCTGATTTCTGGTTGATTTTTTTAAATATTATTTTTACATGTATATTAGACTCTGGCAGCGAGTAACAAGAGCTATAAATGCCAAAGACCAAACAGAGGCCACTCAAGAAAAGTATGTTTTGGAAGAAGCTCAAAGGCAGGCTGCGAGAGATCGGAAAACAAAAAATGAAGAGTGGGCTTGTAAGTTATTTGAACTTGATCCACTCACAGGAGAATGGCACTATAAGTTTTCAGAGTAAGTAGCTTAAATGTTTATTTCAAATCTATTAGCATAATTTATTGCCTTCATATTTCTGTTATATTTATTATCAACAAATGAATTTGGGTGAAATATTACTTTACAAACTTTTTAAAAATTTACATATATGTGTGCCAGCTTTTTGGGTTTATGAGTACCATGTGCATGTAGGAGCCCCTTGGACAATGTCAGGCCCCCTGGAATTGTACTAGTGGATGTTATGAGCCACTATGTAAGTGTTGGGAACCAAACTCTGGCTCTCTGTAAGACCAGTAGGTGATTATAACCTCTAAGTCACCTCTTCAGTGTGAAATTTTATTTATTTGTTTGTTTGTTTATCTATTTGAGGCACAGTCTCAGTATGTAGCTCTGGCTGTCCTGGAACTCACAATATAAATCAGGCTGGCCTCGAACTCAGTTCGGCCTGCCTCTGCCCAGTCCTGAGATTATACCATTATGCCTGACATCATAATATGACATTTGAAACTTGTTGTTCTATCATTTATTTTACTTATGTATTTATTCCTATGGTAGTGGAATAAGCTATGAATCAGAAGATTAGATATAGACAAATCTTAAGATTAGAACAGTCTTTGTAATTACTTAATAAAATCTAACAAGAAGGAATTATATTCTGTAGCTATTTAAATTTCTTTTTTCTATTTAGTACTCGACCATGGGACCCACTTAATGATATGATACAATTTGAAAAAGATGGTGTTATCCAGACCAAAGTGAAACATCGCACTCCAATGGTACGTAACAAAAAAGTAGCTAAGTTCAATAGGCTTATAAATTTGCTAAATCTTTAGAATTCAAGGTAATTACATTTAAAAGTTTAAATTTTAGGTACGTAAAATGACATTAACAGGCAGCTCCATGCACTGACATCCAAACACCCAAAAAAAAAAAAAAAAGGCAGCAAATTTACCATGGCTCTCCAACTTTGAAACTAATGGGAATGAAGGGCCAAGAAGGGCTTGGAAGCAGTGCGAAGATATTGTAGCATATAGGAGTCCTTGCCTCGCCCTTTGCTGGACACAACTACGGACTTGTGAGGTCTGTGTGTTCCAGTGTATGTCTCTGAGGCCAGAAGGAACAAAGCAGGCCACACGAGCATGCACATCCCACCGCTCGGGATTTCTGTACCTAGGAGGCACGTGTGGAGGCCCTCATTTCTGAGAGTGCCAGTAACAAAAATTATATAAAGGACCTAAACAGAACTATGAGAGCTGAAAAGTACAGTAATGGGAAATTTTTGGTAGAAGAATCTTAGCAACAGATTTAAGTAAATACAAGACAGAATCAGTTACATAATGGATAAAATTATTCAGATTATCCACTATGAGCAAACGGATGAAAAAGTAAACAGAACCTTGGAGACCCACAGGAGCACCCTCTGGTAGGTTGTATGAATTACAGTCCAAAAGGAGGTGAGGGTCAGAAAAGGATGGAATGTGCTTCTAAAAAGGCTTCCTTCCATGTGCCCAGGTCAATGGCGGTAGGAGTCTATAGATGAAAGTTCAGCAGTCTCTGAATAGAGCAAGGTCAGACTGATGAAGCAGGAAACAGAGCCTTAGGAGCAGCGGGAAGGAACTTGTAATGTTCTTAACAGATAATTCTTAGAGATTTCTAAAAATCCAGGATATTCATGAATGACTCTGGTAATATTGCAGGCTATAAAATGGACACACAAATAACATTTGTGTTTCTGTATAGTGAGGAATCACAAAAGGAAATTTAAAAAGCAGTTCAATTTATAATAGCACCCAGAAGAGTGCCTGTTTCTTTTTTTTTTTTTTTTTTTTTTTTTGGTTTTACGAGACAGGGTTTCTCTGTATTGTTTTGGAGGCTGTTGGACCAGCCCGATCTCGAAGTCACATAGATCCACCTGCCTCTGCCTCCTGAGTGCTGGGATTAAAGGTGTGCGCCACCACCGCCCGGCTGTTTCTTAAGCTAGAAGAATTCATATCGTTACAATGCATTGTTCCCCAACAGTCTGTAGAATGGAAAAGCTGATCCTCAAATTCATATGGAATTGTGAGGGTCCCTTCATACATAAAACATTCCCTTTTTGTTTGTTTGTTTGTTTTAGAGCAAAGTTGGAAGACATATTTTCCAGTTTTTCAAAGTTTATCACAAAGCCACAGTAATCAAAGCAGTCGTTTTGATATAAGGTTAGGCTTGGCATACAGGCCAGTGTAAGAAATTAGTCTAGATGTAAACCCATGAAGGTTACATATGAAGGATTGGACATGTGGCTCATAGTTAAGAGCATTTGGTGCTCTCCCAGAGGACCTGGGTTCCATTCCCAGTACCCACATGGCAGCTCCAGCCATCTACATTTCTAGTTGTGGGGGCTCTGCACCCTCATCTGGCCTCCTCAGGTACTGCATATATGTGTGGAGGCCCTCCGGCAAATGTACATATAAAATAAAAATATGATAGGCTTTCCAAACAGGTTTTAAATGTTATTTTTGACAATGATTTCTCCCACTCCTTGGAAAAATGCTAGTCTCTTGAACAAATGGTCCTGAGACAAGTTCACCTGACTTTCTATTGTATAGAAAATGGCTTAGAATGTATCTATACATAAAGTGAAAAGTAAGACTATAAAATTCTTAGAAAACAGTATAGGTCATTAGACCTTGTGTTTAGAAATAGATTCTTTTTTTTTTTTCAGTTTAAATTTAGATTAGAAACAAGGTTGCTTCACAAGTCAGTTCCAGGTCCCTCTCCCTTTCCCTCCCCTCCTCCCATGCCCTCTCCCCAACCCCCCATTATCCCCTCATTTCCCCAGGGAGGGTGAGGCCCTCCATGGGGGTGTCCATAGTCTGTCATAGAAATAGATTCTTAATAAGACACTAAAAGCACTCATAGCAACAACAACCAGAAAGAAAGCTAGACTCTGGGTGATGGAGAGCTGGCTCAGAAGTTGAGAATGCTGCTCTTGTAAAGGACCTGAGTTCTGTTCCCAGCACCTACACAGCAACTCTCAATCGTCTATAACTCCCATTCCGGGGGATCTCATGCCCCCCCTGCCCCCGTTGCCTTTACCAGCGCCAGGTACATGTGTGGTGCATGTGTAGTTTCAGGCAAAGCACCCATACACAAATAAATGAATGAATGAATAGATCTTACTTGAACACTTTTAAACATCAGATGATGTGATGAGGAAGGCAAAAAGACAAGTTACAGAATGAAAGAAAATACCTGCTAATCATTTATCTAGCAGTTTAAATATCCAAAATATACAGAATACCTGACTTAATGAAAGATTTCCTGGACTTTCAGAAAATGACTAGATTAAACATTTTCCCAGAGAAGATAAACGGTCAAAGCCACATAAAGATTTTATTATTAGTGTATGAATGCAACTCAAAACCATAGTTAGTTCATCACTTCCAACTTAATATGTAATAAAAATTAAAATAGAAAATAAAGTATCAGTGAAGATATGGGGAAACCAGAGCCCAGTACGTTGGGAAGGCAAAACTTTGCAGCCATTGGGAAATACGGTTTAGCAGGTCCTAAAAGAGTATATAATACAAAATTACCATATGATCCAGCTCTTCTGCTCCAGAAGAGTTGAAAATGAGAGCTGGAAATACAACAGTATTCATTTACAGTGGCCAGAAAAGAGGACCACTGGAGGATCCTTAGCAGATATATGCATAAACAAAACAGTCTACCCATGTAATGGAATATTATTTATCCATAAAAATAATTACATTCTGCTCTGTGCTACAGACATGGACAAACTCGAAAGGACAAACATTCTACCGTTTCCACGTAGGCAGATTCCCAGAGTCAGAAAGTAGATTACAGGTTCGCAGCCACCTGAGGAAGAAAAGGGTGAGGAGTTACAGAATCTTGAAGATGAGTATACAACATTGTGAAATAATTACTGCCAGTGGGTTGTATGTAGTACTTTTAAAATGGCAAAACTATCATATATACATGCTATCCGATTTTAAGATGCAAATTTTTGTTTGGATTTATTTTTTTCAGACATTGTCTCACTGTATAGCCCTGGCTAGTCTGGATCTCACTGTGTAGACCAAGATGTCCTCAAACACAGAAACTCACCTGCCTCTGCCCCTGCCTCTGCTGAGACTGAGGTGCAAAATGTTTTTAAGTCATGTTGCACGGACATGGTGCAGACACATGAGACATGTACTTCCTTCTAGGTAGACTGCAGATCAGTTAGTCTTCATACATCCCTCACGACTGACCCCAGTTGACATCTTGAGGACTCCAGGATCTAAAGTAGGATAGGCTGAATCCACAACCTGCCTTCTTAGTGTACATGTGCACGTGTATTTTAGGTGCATATGTGAGGGTTTACACAGTTATTCCAGCAATAGCTAGGGATAGTTTTGTCGGATTGATGAAGTTAAAGATGTGCGACCATTGACTTCCTCTGTTTCTAAACGTGCACATTGCCTTACCTTTGTGATACATTTCTTCTCTTGCATTTAGGTTTTTAAGTTTGGTACTGGTGACCAGAAGCCTACTATTATTCTACAGTTTATTATTTCACAGAAAATTTAATCCTAGTTGATTTCATACACATCTGAATCTTGTGTCTGCACACAGATGTTTTTGTAAGTTTAGGTGTACTACAAAATAGTAGTTTATTTTCTGTTTGCCATAAACTATCTAAGTGAACCTAACGTCATCCAGTGGAAATGTTCTAACATTGAGAACAAGATAAGGAATTTTTTCCACCCTGCTGTTTAAAACCCTGGAGATGCTATGTGAAGGAGATGCGGCAATGGGGGTGTATTTGTGTCTGTACATGCTTTAAGGTGTCCCTGGAAGAGTATGCAAGCTGACAGCGTGTGGAGGAGATATTGGGTGTGTATGGGTCAGGAATGGGAGAGAAATTACCTCGCCCAGTTCTTCCTTCTAGTCTTTGCGCCCAGCTGAAATGGTGGGTTGCTAGGTGCTGGGTATCTTACTTGTTAGATTTCATTTGATCGTTTGTGCTTTGATTCCTAAGCATCACCCTGTCAGTGGTTTTGACAGTTGTGCGGGTGGTTTAGTTACAGAGTATAGTGCAGACTCACATCATAATATGATTTTCTTCAGGTTAGTGTTCCAAAAATGAAGCATAAACCAACGAGGCAACAGAAGAAAGTGGCAAAAGGCTATTCTTCCCCAGAACCCGACAACCAGGACTCATCTGGAAGTGAAGGTATTGCTGTTGGTACATGTAAGTGGTTTTCAACGTAACTCAAGAATGTGAGAGTTTGTGTGGAGACAGGAATCAGGTATGAATACTGTTTTGGATTATAGATGAGCTGACTCTAAGATAAAAGCATGGAATGAAGACAGGGAAGTCATGTGGATAAGTGCTACAGTAGCAGTTCCTTTAACTTTTGGTGAAAATGTGTTGATTGAATTCAAAAAGCATATTTTACGTTTTGAGTCAGTTCACGTTTCAAAAGAGTTTCTCATTCCTAAAGTAAACTAGTAGTGTTTGGAAGGCATAGACAAGTAAGAATATAAATATAAGTATGCAAAAACTCATGGATTAAATCATGTCTTAACCAAGTCAGATACTGTGTGAACTGTCTTGAACTATATTAAGATATAATTAAGAAGGGATTAAGGTAACATCTTAGACACTGTAGGAAACTGAAAAAGTAATTTTTAGAAAGTTGCCTTAAACACAGTGTCTATGAACCTACACTAAACTGGGCGTGGGGGGCTAATTTACTTATAGAGGCAACACTAGAGTAATAAATAGTGACAGATGATAATTGATGAGAGGCTTAAAAGAAAAGGCGCTCACTCGGAGTTGGGGGAATGTTCTTGAAGATGCCTGAGGAGCTAGTAGACTCTCCAGTGCTTGCTACCCTAGGCCTGGGGCATTCAGCCCAGTGATACAGGTGATAGCAGAAGGAAAAGGCTACAGGGTTGCTGTCGTCTTACAACAAAGGAGACTAAACAGGAACTCTGAACCTTGAAACCTGTTAGCCTGTGCAGGGTCACGGAGCCTGTAGGGTGGGTATGTGGAGTGGTACCTGATGTAGAGACATTAACTCTTTAAATTGTTGACCACTTGATTCCTTACAACTGTGTGGAATTGGGGCAGTCTTACTAACCTTAGTTTAAAAAGAGAGACCTTAAGAAGAGATCTCAAGTTAACAATAGCTCTAGAAGTTGAAAGGGGCTCACAGAGGCGAGTAATTCAGATTGGTGCCAGTGGCTGGGGGAGAAGAGAGTATTAGTTTCCCAAAATTAACACAGAGTTTAAATTATTTTTGCCTATTTTAATGAATTAAAAATTGATTCCACAAGTTAAATAATTTGTAGACTGCTCTATACTGTGTACCAGTTTTTATTTGATCTCTTTGAGACTTTAAAAATGTAGAGTATTTATTTTGTTAATTTGTAGGCCATTCAAACCAATGCCTAGAAAAAATTTTATTATACAAGTCATTAAATTAAACTATAGATTGTGACTGAAACTTCATTTTCACTGTCTTTTAGCTCAATCTGTAAAAGCGAGTACACGAAGAAAGAAGGGGATAGACCTGGGTGATATTCAAAGTTCCATTGAGTCTATAAAGCAAACACAGGAAGAAATTAAAAGGTAGTATATATTCTGACAGTGACTAGCTGTTTGAGTCCAGAGGAGTAAAGACCCTGCTAAGGGAACTCACGCAAACTTTACATTTTTACATTTAAACACTGCTAATGTTTAAAAACAGAGTCCTGACCTCTGAAGTCTGAAGCTTACAGAATTCCTCCTGTGGAACTACAGGGGAGATGGAGTTGTGAGACTCCTTTCTATAGGGGTGGAATGTTTTACTGCTAGTAGCATGCTAGGAACACACTGGGTTGGGTGTGGAAGCAGGGTAGTTTCTGAGGAAGCTGACAGACTTGCTTGTTTCTGCAGCCCCCTTTGTGCATTGCTAGTGCGCAATTGTGATGTGTCTCTTCTTAAAGCAGCTGAAGTACCTGCTAGCAGTGGGTAATGTCCCTGCCCTGAGACCAGCACTCTTCACACCTGTGCACATACTTGTGCGTGCTTACACACACACACACACACACACACACACACACACACACACACACACACACACCCACACCCCACACCCCACTTCATGATCTAGCACCTAACAGTTATTAACACTTAGCAGAGGGCCCTAGAGGAAAGACATTCCTGTGCCAGGGCAGTGGGAGGGAGGCACTCTCCAAAAGGAGAGACAGAAAAGAAAACCTCTTCTTATCCATTAGATTACTTTTCAATGTCACCTTCCTGTAATACTTCTGATGATTTACCCTGGCCTTTGCATGAACTTACCGAACATTCCCTCTGGCCTCCTTTGGAGCGTCCTGCGTGTGCTGTTGGCCCCACAGGGCTGTTGGCTCCTTTAGAGCAGACAGAATGACATGTGAACCGTGGGTATCAGGTGTCATCAAGCCATATTATATAATATAATTGTATGTATAAACCTACTTGGTTGCATAGCACAATTCCATTAAAAAGGTTGGAATTTCATGACTAAGTTCTCATTTTTGTAGCATCAGAAAAGCTGTTCAATATTCTTCAATTTGAGAGTGTTAGGAAATCTGCTGCATTTTTTTTTCCTGAAGAATTTGGAATTTTTACTTCACACTTGTCTCTCAATTAAAGATAAAAGAAACTTTGCCAACTAAAGAGCAAATACTTTTCTTAAAGCCACTGTTGTAACAGAGATGATAATATATTCTGTATCATTAAATTGTGATGATTATACCTAATATGTCATAAAGTAATGTGCTTGATACAGTGTACTCAAAAGCACATTAGCTTGAATACTAGCAGTCTCCAGTCTTGGAGTAGTAATTGAAGTAGTTACTTGAAGTAATTAGACACTTTCTAACAATATAATAACTAATAATGACATTTTGTAGTTACATTTATGAAAAATAATTATCAAATTTATTGTTGCTTGTCTTGTAGAAATATTATGGCTCTTCGAAATCATTTACTTTCAAGTGCACCTGCTACAGATTATTTTCTGCAACAGAAAGACTACTTCGTCATTTTCCTTCTGATTTTACTTCAAGTCATAATAAACTTTATGTTCAAGTAGACGTTCTCAACAGTTGAGTCACTGAACTAGACAGATGGAATTTGACCTGGGACCAGTGTTCAGATTGGTTTTCTCTCTAGTAAAGCATCACAGCATTTCTAAATCAACAGAGCAGGAGATAAACGTACAAGTGTCTGCCTACTTTCCGCATTTTTTTCCTTAGCCCGAAACAAGAGCCGTTCTGTTTGATTATTAAAATTAGCTATGTGTTAAGTGCCAGAACACTTTGTGAGACTGTGCCTACATGTGAGCATAATAAATCCACATGTGTACACAAGAACACTTACCTGACAGTAGTTTCTGTGTTCTGCCATATGTTATGAAATACTCTGATACCACTGTTCATAACAAAAATGCCATCAACCTTATAATATATGTATAGTCAACTGTTTTCTTTAGAAGACTGGCATATAACTTTTACTAAGAAATTACAGTGAAGAAATGATAGATTATAGACATCTGATGACTGATTCGACACATTATAATGTTAAAACCACCTCTAAGGTTTCTAGCTCAGTTGTCTTAGAAATACCAAGAGAAAAGTGAGTGGTCAGAATGAAAATATTGTGGGAAACAAGTAGAAAATTTTTAAGAGTTTACACAAAATTTCCTCACCCCTAGAACTTAATGTTACAGATATAGGTATATCCGTACTTATATATATATATATATCAATATTAAAGACTAGTATGTAGCTACATGGATCATTTATGTTACAATCCCACCTTAAGTACTTGCTGACAATTGGTTGATGCCATCCTTTTCTGGTTGAGTAAGTTAGCTGGTCTAGGGCATTGTCCAGACATTAGTGTTTATAGGGTATGTGAAATCCTGATAATTTTATGTTTTCTTTATAAAAAACATTTTAGCATTCATTTTGACAATAGAGTGCTCAATGAGTAAATAGAAAAGAAAACTTGTAATATTTTACTTCAAAAGCAAAAAAAAAATGCAGTAAGACAAGACACTGCAGTGGCCTTTATTTTTAAGAACATTAAAATCAACTTGCTTAAATGTGCAATAAGTTGGGCATTCGAGAATATCCAGTTCTGAAGGGTGTCATCTCCTTCTTCCGCCCTGTGGCAAGCCACAGTTCTGTACAAGTCCTTCTGTTCAGGCTCAGCCAAGTTTCAATTCTAAGGGTTTTTGCCTATTTCTTCAGTTTAACATTTTGACTTTGTATTGTTGTCAAAAAAACACTTCTTTAAAATATAATTAAGCTTTGGAACGCGTGATAAAATTTAGATTCCTCCAAACTACAGGTTTCAAAAAGGTTTATATGGTGAAGGAGCTGTGGGTCTGGCTCCACCTGCCTTCAGCCGAAGGAGAGACTGAGGTACAAGTCAGTCACCTGAGGAGAAGCTGCAGTCTACACTGTGTGAGGGTTACAGAGCCAATGGCTGCTCCAGTGCTGTGTCTGCATATAACTCTCTTCAGTACCATAGGTTCCCATGAAAAGCCATTCCCACACGGTGTCAGCAAAACCATGCTGTATTTCATATGAAAATAGTTTAAACTTTTGACAGCATAAACAAAAGGTGTACCTATATCCAATATTTCATTATTATGGAGTTTTGGGTTATATTTCATATTTGTCAATATATTTTTTGTATTCTTATTCTACTACCAATATTATGCTCAACTGCCTATTCATGGATGTGATATTTTGTAAATATTGTACAACTTGATCTTTATATGATTTTAAATTAGTATTAATTTATATTATATATAACTTAGTTGGTTGATCACTAGAAGTTGTTAAATTGTTGGTGACCTGCCTTAGGGCTCTGTCTTCCTCCTTTGTATTGTTTCATGTGATCTGAACAGTACTTTATTTGTACTGATATCTGAGACTGGAAAGGTAGTTGTTTTTTGGGTTTTTTTTTTGGTTTTTTTTGTTTGTTTTTTTATTTTATTTCATTTCAGAGTTGATGTTAATGGGTCCTTACCCAAGGAGTCAGAAACAAATTAACAGGGTGACTGTTTCTTATATACTAAAGGCTTATGTTCAATTGAATGTTTCTCATACACTTAGTCGTATGAGTTTCTTTCTGTGAACTGAACACAAAACTCAGGAATTGGTGGATTCGTATATGAGTCCTTTAAACAATGTATAATTGACCTTGAGTTTGGCCAGACTGTGTGACTTGACTTTGAACATTCTAATCCGAGGATTCTCTCTTCATAGATGGATTCACAGTGTGTGTGACTCACTGTTCCAAACTGTCTGAAAACTCCACATGGTATATCGGGTTTGTGACTCCATGGCCAGCTTTCTTTATCTAAAACCTCACCTTCTCACGAGAAAATTTAGATGAGTAATAACTACTGACATTTTCATTTTTCAGTTGTTAAATGTCTTTAGTTGCCCCCCCCAATTTAGTGAGATGTTGCTGGCTAGGGAAAGATAGTAATAGACATATGAGATGTTAGTGCGCTACAGCAATAGATATTTAACTTGTATTCTTTTTTTTTTTTTGTATGACTTAGAAAGGTACAGTGGTAATCTTTGTCACAGCTCAGTTGGAAACTGCATTCCATTGAAAAGCTGGCCCTGTAAGATACAATCTTCATTTCCTGTCTCATGGTTTTGTGCCTTTAAGGAGATATTTTTATTGTTTTATGTTACAGAACTATAATGTGGTGTTCAAAGTGTTTGTAGGCTTATTTGTCATAAAAGGGTCATTTCTCTGTCACTTTATTTCCTTTTATATAGCTGAAGAATATGTAAACAGTAATGCTGTACTTTTATAAGGGTTTGTCTAGTTACCTACTTCAAATATATTCTTACTCAGACATCATTGAAGTAAACTTGTCAGATTATTCTGAGTATTGTAAACAGTGCCTTTTTGATGGAATTCACACTGTTTTGGGTGTCAACTCGTGCCATATTCACAGAATTTTGTGGAAGGCAGTTTTAACTTTTTGAAGACTATCTTCATCAAAATTTTAAGGACAATTGTATAAAATTTCATCTTTTTTCAGTGTTTGGCATTTCTAGTCAGCAGTAAATAGTTTTGTTTTGCTTTTTTGTCTTATGTACAAGGACGATGGCATAAGATGAGCCATACCTGAGTCTGCAGATTGTGAATTATGTTAAAAATAGAGAAAATATTCAAGTTTATATCAAATTTTCCAATTTGACCTATAGGAGGGAACCTCCCATAATTCAATAAGTTTACATTTTAACCTCTTTCTTATTTGGCTACATGTATAAAGAGATTCTTTAAAATGTGTAACCTGCCACCACTGCATAATTTGGTTGCTTTTTGTTACATATTTTGTGGGTTTAGGATATCCACTTTTTGTTACAATTATTATACTATTTTGTTACAGTTTTTAATTGAACATGGACTGTTAAAATTGTACAGGACCAGTGTCTTATTAATAAGATTAACATATTTAGGAAGAGCCACAGGAAAACCTTGATGAAAATGAATGTGTCTTTACTTTATGGAATATTTAGAAAAATTAGCCTCTTCGTTCATCATGAAAATTATTTTAGTACCATAATACTGAAATTCTTTATTTGTAAAAATGCCATGAAACATTTGAATGATGAGCCACAAACCTTCAGTTGGGTATATTTTCACTTTTTGGCATGTTAAATATACATTTAATTTCAAATACATCAGTTAATGGCTGTTTATAAAGTCAAGCACTACCACTGGTCAGTTTTGTATGATAGGATATAAGTGTGTTGCTACCTGCAGTGTAAGTATAGCACACTGTTGAATTCTCTTAAGGTGCATAGTAAATGCATAGATAGTCACAGGCGGTTTTGTAATGTATACATTTCTAATCTATTATTCCTAACCTGTTATGTTTGCAGAGAGAAAAGAATTTTTCTAATGATCTGTAAAATTATGTTAACTTCTATAAGTAGGTATTCTAAATAAACTTTTTAAAAAGCAAGCTGTGATCCAATGACTCCTGATATAATCCAGTAACTAAATTAATCATCTCATTTATTTTGCTTTGTTTTGAGGGTGTGTGCGCAAAGATATCCATACAGTCTTGACAGGGATTTAACAGAATCCCTAATGTATGTTTTACTTGGTACTTTATATTTCTTCTTTCTTAAATAAGTTGAAATTATGCATACTTCATACATGAAAAGGGAGGCCCAGGGTTTCTAAATGTGACAAAGAGCAGTCTTTCTGAAAGGGTAAAAAACATTTTGAACCATGTCTACACATCGTGTTCCAGTGCAGCATTTAAATGTTTGAAATAACCCACTACTTGAGTCTATATTAAGATACTGTCAAGTGATAAATGCAACCAGGAAGGAAAAAAAAGCTTTACCATTGAATATTGAGCACTCCCCTCCAGCATACCTGTTAGGGGGGAGTCCTCATGCCCAGTAACCCTCAGATAAGATTCAGGACAATTTTGCCCTTTGACTTCCTCCTCCTTTCTCCCTATTCTAGCTAACCTCTCAGAATCCACTTGCTACTCCTAGAAATAACAGGAGAACCTACAATTTTCTGTCCTGCGTGGGAATATGGAGTAGGGAAAAGCCAGTCAGTGTTAAACATCAGTGTGTATCTAGGTCACTTTCCTGCTAATATTGACCCGTTTGTTGTGCATTCTTGTGAATGTAAGTGTGGGCATTGGGGCTCAGATGGAAAGGGATCCTTGCACTTGGGAGCCAAAGACTACTGAGAGTTACAGCTTGGATGGAACAGTATTCTGACAGTCGGGCGCCAACTACTACCACAGGTCACAGTAGGCACAGCAGCTTACAGCCCTGCTCCAGGGAAAGGCTTCCCCCAGTGTAACAGCCCTGCTCCATCAGGGGAGGGTTTCCCAGGGAAGAGTGTTTCTTCGGTTCTCCCTTTTTCCCTATATTGACAGTCCACCATAAGAATCTTGTGAGTGAATGATAAATACTTGACTGTATTTGCTCCGTGTTAGAAATTGTACAAAGTACTTTCTAGTGCACCCACCTCAGAACTTTATTTTTTAATAAGGAAAGCAGGGACTGTGAACGTCACCTATGATTGAATAGAAGGACCTCAGCTATGAATGCAGAGTTCATGCTCTCCCTGAAGCCTGTGTTTTAATATGAAACATTGCTGCTCTGGGGCTGTATACAATACACAAGGTTAGCATGTGTTGATTCGGACTATTAGTCATCTGTGTGAATAAAGGACAAACTATTATTTCTGCTTAAGTGGTTAAGCTATTGGGATGTCTTCCATACCCGAACGCAGGGAAGAGAGCATACCCCAGCGGAAGAGAGCATAAAAATGGCGCTGGCCAAACTCTCCGCATCCATCCTGCATCCTAAAGCCGTGTGCGTGAAGGCAAGGAGAGCAGTGAGTATGGATGGGCCCTGTATGCATAAAAGCCAGGACAGGGACAGTCCCCAAGTCCCTCCATCCCAGCCCCTCAGGTTGCAGACCTAGGGGGCGTGGTCAGGGACGCCGACCATAGGGCGTGACTCAGGACGGCGCCCGGAGACCCCGCCTCCACCTCGGCCTCCGCCCCCGCCCGCCGGGCTGGCTTCACCCTTACCGCAGAGCTCGGTGGCTCGTCCGCCAATCCACGCAAGCGGTGCGGCTGTATTTCCGGCTTCCTCTCCGCCTCTTCCGGCCCCCGCCCTCCTGCGGTCCTGACCTTCGCCCTCTGCTGAGCCGAAGGGGTTCACAAGATCCTGGATGCATGGCATCTCTGGGGTCTGTGACCGCGGCGCTGCGGGTGACTGAGGTGCTGGAAGCCATCGCCAGCCGCTGCGTGGGGCCCGAGGGCGGGCAAGTGTTGTGTACGAAGCCCACCGGCGAGGTGCTGCTGAGCCGGGATGGAGGCCGCCTCCTGGAGGCGCTGCACGTAGAGCATCCCTTAGCCAGGTACCATGCGCCACCTGCCGTGCGCCAGGCCCGCAGTCTCCCTCCACCTCCCTCTCATCCAGTCCCGAGACCGTGGACCTGGAAGAAAAAAAAAAGAGCTTGCGAGATCAGTGTAGATAGCCGATAAGGTTGCTGCCCAAACGACTAGTCAAGGGCCCCAAACCTCATCAACTGCCTAGAACATTTCTCTTTTCCCATCCCTGGCATCTTAGAATTGAACAAAGTAGCTTAGAAAGATAAAAAGAAGTAAATATAAGGCTGTGCGTGAAAAAGATGGTACTCTGTATGTCTGTAGCTATGAAAACACGGGTTTAACTTGGCACCAACATAGAAAATCTGAGTTACTTTTTTTTTCCCCCTCTCCCTATACAGGATGATAGTATCATGTGTTTCCAGTCACCTTAAAAAAACAGGAGATGGTGCTAAAACGTTTATTATTTTTCTTTGCCATTTACTCAGAGGACTTCATGCAATCAGAGAAAAAGATTCATTCACTTCTGAAAATACTCAGACCCACCAAAGGCACTGGAAAAACTGTTGCCAGTGGAAATGTATTTCCCAGGCCCTGCTGACGTTTCAGACACAAATACTAGATTGTATTGTGGATCAGTTTTTAAGCAGGCACTATCTGTCTGTCTTTTCTTCGTCTGCTAAAGGATGGACAGTGTGCAGGCGCTCTGTAGAGTCACTCCTGGAAGCATACTTTTGTGGACGAGTGGGAAGAAACAATTGCAGGTTTATCTCACAGTTGATGTGTGACTACGTTTTCAAGTGCATGGATCATGAAAGTGTGGTTGAAGGATTGGAGTTGGTGGACAACTGTTTTCTCGAGTTGAATGTTGGCGTGACAGGCCTTCCTGTTTCGGATTCTAGAATTGTGGATGGCCTTGTGCTTCACCGAGACTTCTCTGTTTATTGTCCAGCAGATGGGGACATAAAGATGGTGATGGTGACAGAGGTTCTCCAGCCTCCGTTTTCATCGTCCAAATCGGAGTTTGTTCTAGACTCAGAAGCGCAGTTTCAGGCATCTCAGTGTTGGATCGTGGAAAGGACAAAAGCAGTCATGAAACATTTGCAGAGTCAGAACATTAAACTGCTCCTGTCCAGCGTGAAGCAGCCAGACCTAGTTAGTTACTGTGCGAGACTCCATAGCATTTCGGTGGTGGAGTGTTTATCATCTGAAGAGGTTTCTCTTGTCCAGAGGATCACTGGCCTTCTTCCTTGTGTTTTACCACAGGTCCCTTCACAGGGCGAAATTTCTGATACGACTTTGGTGAAGTTTTGTAAACCCCTCATCCTGAGATCCAAAAGGTATGTTCATCTTGGCTTGGTTAGCACATGTGCGTTTATACCTCACTGTGTGGTCCTTTGTGCACCGGTTCTGGGTCTCGTTCAGCAACATGAGAGTGCTTTCCGTGGAGCGTTTAAGATGCTGCAACAGTTATTTACTGACTTGGACCTAAATTACATCATACAAACCAACGCCCAGCGTGACTCAAGTCCTCTTGCTTGTAACAACAGCAGAGAATGCAGTCGCCCACCAGAAATTGGTAAGTATCAGGACGTAATAGTAAAGAGTGAGAACAAATTGGAAAACACTCAAACACATTCAAAAGCGTATTCAAATGTGGTGGCTTCAGATACAGAATTAAAAACACGTGTGACATGGTCAGCACACAAGGAGACACCACTAGATACATCTCAAACCAATGTAATACTGAAGTGCTTGTCTCCAGAAAAAAACTGGGTAATCAGTGACTGTGAACTGCTCGTTGGGAGTAACCCCACTGGAAATCCTACAGCAGAAGACACTAGAACAGAAATGTCGTATGACAACGTACAGGTCACAAGTCATCCTGGAAAAGGATGCACATTGCCAGTGATGTACAAGTCACTAGAGGCATGTACCTCCCTGAGTTATTATTGCTCATCAACTCTGCCAGCAGGCTGTGTCCTGCCAGTGGGTGGTAACTTTGAGATCTTGTTACATTACTATCTTGTCAACTATGCCAAACAATGTCAGCAATCAGCTGAAGCCACGGTCAGTATGCTAATAGCTAATGCACTTTTAGGCATCCCTAAGACCCTTTACAAGCCTAAGAATGGGAAGGACAGCTTTCCACAAATATACATGCGATCTCTCCATGCACTGCAGACCTGTCAACCTATGGTAAGTGGTCAGTCAGGCTTGGAGCCAGTAGCTGGTAAGTACCAGTTAATAGCTTCAGTTATTCAGTGTTTAGCAAAAATACTAACTGTGGATTTAGTAATCAATATTAAGAGACAGCCTCAGAAAATTGGTGACCAAGATTCAGAAGATGAACTTGAACACTAAGCGTTTTTGTTGCTCAAACTTTGACTCTGGGGTCAGGGAGAAGGCAAACAGAAGACCTGTGGTCAAGGCCCAGGGCCCACTGGGTAGAAGAACAGGATGGAGTCTGGAGGATTGTTCTGTGTCCTACACACACATTCACAGATGGAAGCACTAAACGTTAGGAAACAGATGTATTCAACTCAAGCTAAAAATTCAAACAAGCCGCCTTTAATCCCAGTACTCAGGAGGCAGAGGCAGGTAGATCTCTGTGAGTTCGAGGCCGGGCTGGACCGACAGCCTTCAAAACAATACAGAGAAACCCTGACTCGTGAAAACAAACAAACAAACAAACAAAAAAACAAATTCAAACAGGCTTCTGGCTGACGGAAGTCAATCCAGTCTTCACCCTAAGTCCATTGAGGCCACCTGACCATTAATTAGCATCCCTGTGGAACCAAACCTGGTTAAATATGTTCCTTCCTATGTTATATATCTGTTTCCGGTCTCTGTCTAAGGGAGCATGTCTCTGTATTCCCTTTTCTGTATTTTCCCCCACTTCATTCCCTTGAGCGTTCTGTATTTCATAGAGTCATGTAATCTCCCGTTTGAAAGAGGTCTTCAGATGCCATCTCACATTGTTTATGAACGCAAATTAATGTTACATTTAAAACAATTTTTCTGTGGGTGAAATCTGTAAAGCAGTAAATAAAAGCCACATCTTCTCTGTAAAAGCATATGAATTAATTGCGTGTCATTTGGTTTATTCTGTTGAAAACGGTTGGGGGCTGGGGCGATGGTTCGGCCGGTAAAGCACTTGCCACCGAGCCTGGCACCCTGAGTCTGAAGGGGAGAACCAATTCCACGGAGCTGTCCTCCGGGCTTCAATGTACACTGTGGCATGTTGCATGCACACGAAAACAGTAAATTTTCAAAATCTGCACCGTTGAATACCTGTTCAAAAATGACCACATTGTGAATTCACCTTTTATAATTAGAAGTTAATGCCAGGAAAGATGGGAAAGTTGTGCTCTTTGTTTTTTCCTGGCTCCTAAACGCTCGGAAGGATTTAATGCAGTTGCTAGTATTTCTTATTTGGATGCATGACCAGTGTGCAATAACAACTAATTTGACAGTTATTTCCAGTGAAAATTGACAAGTGTTTGCATGCAACTTTAAGAGGTTCTGAGTGCAAACAGCGGTACTTTGCTGCTGCAGTCATGGATAAGAACAGTGTTTTCTGCTTTTAGTAATTCTCTGTAACACCCGGAACAGTGTTTTGTTTACACCATGTGTTTAAATGTGCTTGTTAAGTAACACAGTGGTATCGCACCCATTCCCCTGATATGTGTTTCTGGTTCATTCATTCAGTAATCCTTACTGTACAAATACTAGGTTAGATGCCGACTCTGCTATGCTGTCATGCACTTTCTTCAGAGGTTAATGGATTATAAACATTGGCCTGTGGTTGAATTTAGGGAAAGTAGAACAAAGACACCTTTATATTTGCAAACTTTCTGACTAGTGATGTGTTTATAAACCGGTGGGCCGGGAAGACAGCTCTGGGAATAGGGTACGCTGCACAGGCATGAGGAACCTGCGTCTGAATCCCCAGTGCCTACCTAAAAGCCAAGCTCGGCGTCATGCCTCTATAATCTCACAGCTAGGGAGTGCAGAGACAGGCAGATCCCCGGAGCTTGCCTGCCATCAAACCAATTGCTGAGCTCAAAGGTCTGTAAAAGAGTTGGAAACAGCCCGTTTCCACTGTTAGGAGTCACAAGAGGACCAAGCTACACAAGTAACATATATGCAGAGTGTCCAGGTCAATCCCATGCAGACTCCTTGGTTGTTGCCTCAGTCTGTGAGCCCCTGTGAGCCCAGGTTAGTTGATTCAGTGGGTCTTCTCGTGATGTCCTTGGTCCCTCTGGCTCCTACAAGCCTTTTTCCTCCTCTTCTGCCTAAAGTTTGACTGTGGGTCTGCATCTGTTTCCATCAGTTGCTGGGTGAAGCCTGTGTGGTGACAATTGGACTAGGTACCAATCTGGTCACAGGCTATGTATCCACTTTTGCTAGGAGTCTTAACTGGGATCTTCCTTATAGATTCTTGGGAAATTCCTGTGTGCCAGGTTTTTACCTGACTCTAAAATGCCCCCCATTTCCAGTAGTCTCTGTCAGAACTCTCCCCCAACCTGATCACTAGAGTTCCCATTTGTTTTTGTTTTTGTGTGTGTGCGTGCGTGCGTGCGTGCGTGCGTGCGTGCGTGCGTGCGTGTGTGTGTGTGTGTGTGTGTGTGTGTGTGTGTGTGACTAAATTAAATCCTGAAAGGGATTTGAAGGGACCTTTCATAAGAACCAAGTTATGTTAAGAGTCTGAAATAAAGAATGGGGACAAAGGGAGATGTGGAGGCAATTTAAAATCAAGATCGTTTTCAGATTTTCTAGTGCTGCCCTTGTTCCCCCAAGGGCTCTGGGGTTGGTTGAGCTCTCACAGGGTAAGCCAGGGTTCAAGAGCAGTCAAGTCAGGCCTCACTGCCCAATGGCAAGTGTTGATGTCACTTTGTAGGAATAGTGTGTGGAGCGGATATGTACAGGCAGCTGTCTTTGGAAATACAGTCTGCTACCCCACGAGAAGGAGAAGAACAAATATGCCCCCTCGGCTGTGCTTTTTGAAGTCTCATGTAAAGCTCCCTCCCAGAAGCACACATCCTCTAGGAACCTTTTTCAACCTTGTTTTTCTCGAGCTTTGGTGAGCCATTTTTATCTTCAAGCCAATAGGCATTAAATAATTGAACATCCTTGAGCTGCTTCAGCCAAAAGAGCTGTGTTTGCTCATACTACACAGGAGAAAGATGTCACCATATCCATGTTTTAAACAGAAAGGAATGGGTCAGGTGAATGCAATTTGAGCACAATTAGGAATTGCTCGTTCTCTCCAAAAAGGGATATTTGCAACTTCTGTTTGCTGGCATAAAAGAAAATCAGGTTTTCATTCCGTCTTAGCTGTGAATGGGAATAAGCACTCGTCTGTGGCTGGGCTTTGACCACAATCAAGAGCAATGCCCTGGGGATGAAAGGTACAGAAATAAGGGAAGGAACTTGGATCCCTGCATGACCAAGCAGAGTCACTCCAACCCCCTGGACTCTGCACTCAAGACTTGTGTGAGAGAGAAGCCAACTGCCGGTTATCTCTGCCTCCTGCAGCCTGTGTTATGGAAGTGCCACTTTTATTCCAGCAAGAGATCTCTCCATGGCTGTATGAATAACTACACATTTTTGAAATAGCAAAATTACTAACCATGTAGCTTTAGACTTCACCAACTTTTCTAAGATGCTTTTGCTTTGGGGGTTTGGGAGACTGGGTTGTGAAATACATTTTAATGAATACGCTTCAAGTAAAAATGTCTTGCAATTTTTTGAACAGAAGCTGCTGTGGCATCAGGGCTTTGCCTCCTGCTTCACAATCTTCAGATGTCATGACACTACCACCTTCTAGAAAGCTTTTGAGGCACCAAAAACATATTCTCCTCCATTGAAAGTCTTGTGGCAGCTCCAGAGGCTGGATAGCTCTAGTTTTTTATTTTTAGTTAAGTGTGTGTGTGTGTGTGTGTGTGTGTGTGTGTGTGTGTGTGTGTATGTGTGTGTGTGTGTGTGTGTGTGTGTGTAGGTGCCTGTGGGAACCAAAGACATCAGATTCCCTTGGAGATGGGGTTGTAGATTGTCAGCCACTTAATGACAATGACTGACATGGGTGCTGGAAACTGAATTTGAACTCAGGTCCTCTACAAGAGCAGTTTACCCTTTTTAGTGACTGAACCAATCCTTTAGTCCCTGAACTGGCTTCTTAGCAAGTGTTCAGCCATTTAGAGTTTTCCAGTTCCTGAAGGGATGGGTGCTCTTATGGAACCTCGGTGTATGCATTTTCTAGCCCAAGAGTCTTCACTGCGTCCTTTTTCACTACAGACATCACTGAGGGCTTTTCTGATCAGAGTGTGGATGAGGGATTTGATGAGAACCATCAACCTGTTTCTCATGGTCTCCCCTCCATTGCCTTCCCCCATGAGAAAGGTGCCCGGGTGTTTGACCTTAGCAGACCTTTTCCTCCTAGTCATCTTGTCCTTCTGAAAGAAAACAGCTCTCACCAGAAACCGTCTTTGCTTTCTCAACTGCCTGTACTGCCTCCTAACTGCCTCTCATAGACCGCAACACTTTATCTGGAATTATTGTGTTGGTCTCTGCACCAATGAGAGTCTCCACAGTGTGTAGCCTGCCCACGGACCTCTAAATAATCATGAGTTGTAAATGCTAGAGGGAGGATCCACTGGGCATCCAGCCTTAATTCCACAAGACGTTCTTAAGAAGAGGCATATATCATTCTAAACCATCTTCCATGGTGCTGGTTATTTCAAATGTTGGTGAGTTGTCTCCAGTAGAACTTCTTGAGTTGGTAGGGAATTGTCCGAGTAAAATGGTGCCGTTTTTCCATTGTAAATTGACAATAAATGAAGAGAAAAGAAGGAGCACAGGGAATGAATAGATTGAGGGGCTAATGAGGCCATGAAATCTGATCAAGAGGGATGCTACATGTAATGGAATAGAGTTCAGGTAATCTTAAATTTCAGTAGGAGACACTTCCTCAAAATAACAAAAACGGCAGAGGACTGAAGACCTTGAGTCATTGGGATGAAAAAGGAAAAGTGCATTTTAGTATGTACGTGACTGAAGAAATGAGAGAACAAACTCAGTGCTGTCCTGCTGAGCAGGACACCAGCTTCACTAAACCAGAGGCTTCTCAGCCTAAGCTAGCGGTGTGAGCACAGCACAGCACAGGCGCGTCAGTGGGGACCACACAGCCAGCAGCTTGACCTTCACCCTTCAGTGTGTGGTTTGCCCTCAGAGCCCGCATTGCGTCGCTGCCTTAGCTCCATTTCCATCTTTTGTACAACCACACGGGACCGTCTTCTCCTCGTGCTTGGGAAGCATTCAATTTGTTTTACTTGTGTGTCCCCTTTTAAACAAGTACGTCCACCACTGGCCATTTTATTTCTTTAATCCTTCCCTAAAATCCAGTGTGCATCCAACTTCTAGGTGCAGAAAGTCATGTTGGAGCATCTAAATAAAATTACAACATGTCCAAGAGGCCAGATAACAAAAATGCTGCATTTTGGGGTATTGCCATGACCTTTAGACTCGAAGACTATATTCAGATACTCCATTGTGCCTGCCTGTACAATGTGTAACCCTCATTTCCTCCTCCTATGGGGACCCTAAATCCTGAGATGGCCCTTATCCTCACACCCATCTTAAGAGCATTCCAGAAGGCTTGTGGGGTTTTTTTGTTGTTGTTGTTTTGTTTTGGTTTTGGTTTTTTGGTGCCTGGCTGACCTGAAAGCTACTCTTAGAAAGAGAGCTAGAAATCTACATGGCTGTTGTCAAAATACTCATGAATTAGTTGGAAGGATATGTGAAATAGAAGAGTAGCTTTAGTTTGACAGTTGGGGTCAGTGTAGTGAGCTTTGCACCACTGTGGCAAAATACCTAAGATAATTAACTTAAAGTGAGAAACGATTCATCTTGTTATGGTTTGAGGCTTGACAGGTATTCGCTTGTTTTGATGTTTACTACCTTTGCTGGACACGGTCTGGATTGGAGTTTCATTGTACATTTGCACAGCCAAGTGTGAGGACTGCTGGGTTGTTTTTTTTTTTTTTTTTTTTGAGGGGGTGGCTCTTGTTTT